ACACAATAGAGATAGCTATGTTGGAAATGTAAACAAACAATAAAAGAGGTTAAATAGTGACATTGACAACTGTCAGTGTCAGGAATATTTAAAAAAAAAAATTCAAATTAAGAATTCGTCTTTTGTCTACCAATTGTAACGGCTTCAAGTTTTTCACTCTTATGATAAACCTTTACCACTGATAATGCGTTTTGTGCATAACTTATCAAGCTATATTAATAATACACTCTACAGAATAAAAAACGTAAGAACCAACATTTTATTCCGTAAAGATCCTTGTAGTGCAAATGAATGGCGAGTATAGAGACAATAGAACTGTCATAACACAGAACAATAGAGCGCGCGCGCGGTGTTCATTAGCGGTACTAATTAATGTTTAATTGAGCCAAATAGAGTATCAATTTAGCGGACGACAATTGGATCAAGCATCCCACTACAACGCGGCCGATATAACTGTACTACACACATATATTTATACACGATATACCATTGATATTATAAAATAAAATATGATTAAGTTAATTAAAAGAAATTGACGCTACAAACAGAATGAAGACCACGAATCTCTCAGGAAATACTACAAGATCATTGGCGACGAATAGATCGATTAATGATTATCAACAAAAACCTTGTTACCTCGTTAACTTTATGACTTACTTGCACTAGTGTTTGTGTCTTATGTGTTTTTTTCTGTGTGTAGTAAGTAACGTTCTCCCCTTCTTTCTTACATTCATACTACCGAAATATTGGACATTTAAAACCAAACATCACATATATAACTCGTTTGCATCACCAAAAAGTTACAAATCTTGCTAAAGACAGGTCTTGCGTATACCATGAAGTATCAGTTTTAGATCTGGTTTAAATTAAACTGAATACTGTTAGAAAGAAAATCCGATAATGTGCCGGTGTACTGGCGCAACAGTAGCGTTACTAAAAAGTCGATGTTTATGTCATTACTAATCAATCGGACACTTGACTTGGTAACGAAAGCGCGTTATTCGCGCCAAAGCGTTCTAAATAATGTCTGAAAATATTGACAAAATAATGTCATGAAAATACTGAGTTCTCATTAAAGTCTTTATAAAACGCACCATTTAATTAAAGGAATTAACGAGAGCTAAATTGACTTAAACAGACAAGCAATTAATTTAACGACGGTCTACATATGACACGTGATATACACAACTTTACTTGTGGGTTACTGTCGGAATAAAAATTAAAAAGAAAACTTATAAAGATTTGAACCTTAGCTCAGAAATCTACTGAACACAATAAGATATATTGTTGTCTCTTTTTTATCAAAGAGAACGTTAGAGATGACAATATGTGTCAATACAACTGTCACTGCAGTCGAAGCCCACAATGTTAAAGTGCTTATATCGAAATATATTTGTAAAAAAAATAGTTTACTCCATTACAAGGTCATTTAATGTGGATCATACAGGATTAAGTGTTGGGGTTGAGTTAGCGTGCGCGTTGTGCCGACAAATGGTCGCGTAATGAATTTAGCTCGACGACAATCGGTACGCGGGTGTACGCCAGTTAACGACGTTACAATTAATACGTAATGTAACAAAATAATCTTTCATTTCTTTCATATCAATTTTTAAAGTATCATGAATTGGGAACATCTTAAAAATAACTTAATATGAAATGGTAAATGATATTGAAACACAAATTTCTACAAAACTTCAAGAGAGTTCTCGTTGACGAGGTAATTCCGACGTCAAAACCCGTGTATTAAAACATATTATTAGATTTGTTTGTTTCAAAAAAAATGAAAGAGATGAGAATATATTCAGAAAGAAATGATTAGTAGGTAAATGGTTTTGCTATTGACAAGTTTGATTATTTATTTTTAATACACAACAAAGTGTTGAAACAAATGACCGTACCGCGAATTCCATCATTATGGTAACGCGAGTGTAACAGTCCGATGTAAATCTATTTGTCATATTAATGTGGGCAATTAGAGAGATGCGGGCTCGGCAAGGGTTGCCGAAACGTCGCGGGTTCGTTACCCGACAGCGACGCGTTGGTGACGACAAATGTTATTTTAATTGAAGCTTTTAATTGTCGCATTACTGGTTTGTGTGAATTACTGGATAATAGTCTTCAATTTTAAAAACATTATTAATCGTTTGTTAATTTCGTCAAATAGTGCTATAAGTTGCAATGTTAAAAATAATGTAATATTCAAGTAAGTATAATTGTAGTAGATCGAACAAAAACAGGGACGAAACATCTATGTTTAAAAATTAGATAGTAGTTTTTTCAGCTAAATGAAAGGTAAAATATATTTAAGTGATTTCGATGAAAATAATTTGAAATTTTGATAACTACAAAAGACGGAAGTATGGATAGGTTATTTGAAAGAGGATATATGTAAAAAGGGAGATAATCCAGACAGCTAATTAAAATGCATAAAAAAGGTGTAAATAAAATCTACTGGGAGATAATAATAAAGAAATAATCATTCGTATAAACTGTAAAATTAATTATATTTGTAAAGTTGGCAACAAACATATTCTGTTTATATAAGTTGGTAAGAGAGCGGCAGTGTATGTGCGATAACACCGAGGCGCTATAAGCTCTGTAGATCGCATTAGAGCCACTTCCGGTCAGACCGGATGTGCCGCCATCTTGCTTAACTCGTCTGATGCCCGCATAACTGCCTTCTTATATATTTAGTAGTGTTATTTCATTGCGAAATCTCTTGAAATGTAATTATTACTATAAAATAAAAATTAACTTTTTTATATGTATTTTTTTTTGGTTTCCATGGCAAATCTATGGGCGTTGATTTTTGTGATAAATTTTCTGAATCAAACTCACAATTAAAATACGTATTTGAAAACTTAAGAGCGTCGGTGGCTCAGGGGTCAATCACTTGACTTGCAATCTGTAGGTCCTGGGTTCGAATCCCGCCATGTACCAATGTGTTTTTCCATTTCCGATTTACATATATACATTTATCCGACGTTCTTACGGTGAAGGAAAACATCGTGATGCAACCTGCACATATCTGTGAAGAAATTCAAAGATATGTGTGAAGTCAACCAACCCGTACTTGGTCAGCGTGGTTGACTATGGCCTAATCACCATTAACTTAGGGTAGGCTCCGAGCCCCTCGGTGGGGACGTATAGTGAGCTGATGATGTATGTATTTGAAAACTAAATATTACTGTAAATAAAACTTGATAAAATCATTTAAGACTTGACTTCCAAGTTAAAGCGTAGTCAAGTTGTTTAAGTTGTTTGTTTAAATGGAACAAACTTAACCCCGCTTATTATTATTGGTTAATTAAACTTCCTCGTAATTCGATTAAGATCAATCTTCCTTCAGACTGGAAACTCGATACCGACTCCATTGAGTTGCACACTTATTACATTATTGTATTGTACCAAATTTATAAATTCTAACCGTAAGATTTCACTGTCAAGTAATATGTACAAAGTAAAATGTAATGATGGGACGGGGAAGTGAATTTAGCGGAGGAAGAGACGCATAGGAAGGGAAATTATCCTCTTTCTCCGTCCTCGTCTCCGTTGATAAAAAGTAGGCAACGCATCTGCGATTTTAGATGTCCATGTGCATAGGTCGCTTCGTTATATCGGCAAATTCAAATGGATGAAATATAAAAAATTACGTCCCTTAAGGAATGAATTATACAAACAAAGATAAGTTTGTTACGTGTTTCCAAAGAGTAAAATCATCTTCAAATGTGTTATTATTCGAATTTATGGCAAAACACGATGTTTAGCAAACTGTTCAATAATCTTAATAAGTACGTACAATAGTTACAAAGTGTAACATAAAATCTTTATAGTCAAAGCTAGGCCTAGTAATTGTTGTGATCAATTCTAACGACCTGGCCAATTACTGCTCTCCCGTCACTTTGACGTCGGTCTCGCCAACAATCAGGACTCCAATGTCCTACATTCTCGCTTCATTTACTAGTAATAGTCTAATCATGAACAATCACTAACATTTATATGATTTACAACTATATTTATGTTACTGCTTAGACAAAGAATTTGTTCTGTCTATAGATTTATTTGGTTTCTATGAAATTTTATTATGAGCAACATAAATGTTCGCACTTGACAATTGTGTTCAATAAAATTTTAATTTGACATAAAATTAAAATAAATGTTATCCTTACTAGCTGTCACCCGCGACTCCATCCACGCAGAATTAAATAAATTATAATCAAAGTTGCCTATATTTTCTTCCAGACTATGTTTTACATCTATGCCGAATTTCAGTGAAATCCTGTGAACCGTTCTGGAGATACCTTCTTACAAACATCCAGCCATGCATACATCCAAACATTGGTATTTATAATATTAGTAAGGTAAAGTATCGGAAAATAATATATGTACTAACATTATCTTATATATAAAAACATATTAAAGTTCTAGAAAACATTAATATATTTCATATGAACATTTCATTACGCTGAGTAATAGACAGACTTTTCAATTAGCCAAGTCAGCCCAAACAGGATTCCAGTTAATTCTCCGACGCGCGTGTTTATCCGCCATACGGCAGCTTGGTCGGTGTGTACACTGCGCCTGCGCGCAATATAATTACACTTCATTAGACTAACTCGGCCCGGAGAGGCCTTAATTAACTAATTGCCAACTACACTCATCTTCATGAAGCCCGACATGACGACATGCTTTAAGAATCGACGATGATTCAACTTTCAACTCTTTAAATCTGTTAAACAGTACCGCTTTGTTTTAGTTTGTAAAAAGTTTTGGATATAACATACGAGTAAGAAGCTTCATAGCCTTCTTAGTGTTTTTTTACAACGTTCAGTCTTCGACTAAACATTTCTTTTACTGACTGAATCTCTGTCCATTTAATTTAATAATGATTTTTTCAATTTGCTCTTCAAACGATAGCTTAATTTACCGCTATAACTGTTTATGAATTAGCGAGTTCTATTATTATAATAGTATTACGTGGATTATTTGTTTACACTTACTGTTCAAATGGTGAGAATATGTGATGCTGAGGTCGCGGATCTGGTGCTGCGTCACGCGAGCCTGCGCTGCCAACCGACGGCGCTGGAGAGCATCCCGCCTCCGACCTGGTGTATTGTTACTACGTTTAATATCGCTAATTGGTATAACAGGGTAATAATTAAGATTATACAATAGTTTCCTGTACCTGTCAAGCCTAGGCGACCTGTTAGGTGAACGACGCGGCGAGTGTGGAGAGCGGAGCGGCGAACGTCGCGGCGAGCCTGGCGTGACGGGAGGTGAAGCACGGGGTGAGGCGGCGCCTGACATCGGGGATGCCTCGCCAGAGCCACGCGACATGCACTCCGATGAACCCTGGACAAATACTCAAATCACTAACAATGCTATAATAATTCACTACGGTCATAGAAGATGCATTGAAAGATGTATGTAATATGATAATTGTTAGAACAAATACCTTATCATCAGCGGGATCTCGTTTTGGCATCACCTCAGCACCTTCCCTCTTTCTTTGTTCCTCTTTCAAACGTTCCGCTTTCCGCCATTTCGCTCTTCGGTTTTGAAACCATACCTATAAAAGAAACAATCACTTGAAGTATTAAATCTGTAGTCATATTTGTTTCCAATCATCATAATTCATGGCAGTAAAATATAACTAAACAAGCAACCATTTCCCTAAGCCACCTAATCCTGTGTACCCCACCTGTCAACACTACAAATCCTTAATACTGCATCATTACCACCCCATTTTGTTGCTTATTATATCTGAAAGATTTACACATCGCTTCTGCGTGGGGGAAATTATCCAGTATGTGAGACCTCTATCACCTTTGACAATATATGCTACGATGGACCTATTTATATTGGTGATTGCTACGATATCCAATAAAAGTAGACCTACACAACTGTGTTAAATACAGTGCGTAATAGGCCTCATGTGATTGGGCAGTATAAGCTGGTTAGCCGTACACGACAGAGTCGGGCCACATTTGCACTGCAATTTTCGCAATTTACTTTTAATAAGCTCTCTGATGCTATGAAATCTCATTGTGATGATGTAACGCAGACGAGTTAATAGGTAAAATATCATGACTAATACAGTGTGTTTATAATTTTTTGTAACTTGCATTTTGCATTGACAAATTGCAGTTTTATCATAGGTTTTGTTAAAATACATACCAATGAGAAAGAAATAATAACTATCGAATACTTTCTAGAACTGTTAAAATATTAGACATTTTTTCTTTCTTCTCCTTGCATTTTCTGGTTTTCAAAATTAAATCTAGACAAATATTTTCAGTGTTAATTTCGTAACACTTTATTTATGTTATTATGTAAGTATATAAAATTCTCCATAACCATAATAGTGATAGGTTAAAAACATTAAAATGAATACCTGATACCTCTGTTATATTTAATCTGTGGCGCGTCAAGCATCAAAGTACACCCTTAACGATCGTAAGCTAATTCGGTTAAAATAATAATCCGACCATAATCCGACGGCCGCCCTAATAGTTTTTATCTCTTACTACAGTAGTATTAATATTTAAACGCGTTGAGAGACCGCCACCCCAACGTACCCCTGACGTCTTCATTTTTTTGTTGAAGGGATGCGTATATTTTCCGCGAACCAACAGCTATTACATTACTGATTACTTGCCAACTAATTTCAAAAAACTCTACCTGAATTGGTGGAGAAACTTTTTTATTTTACTTTGACCAGGAATATAAAAATCATTGTTACATTCTAGGAAATACACGATGAAGCAGATAAGAGAGTGAAAATTAGGAAGGCGATTGCAGCGCCCCCAACCCATAGTTTTTATATTCTTGGTTAACCTATACTCCGTTTTTCCAATTACGATCAATAACAATATGTTCAGATAGTAAATATCCACTGTTATGCCAGTTCACTTAGGTAAGGAAAATAAATTAAATAATACCTCATTTCTCAAAATCTATCAATCCTTTATAAAATGGACTAATATTAAAATATAATGCTGATTTTGATATATCTATTAAAAAATATCTTCACATCCTGAAAATACTTTCTATAACAATCCATCGACAACACATTCGATCCTTATTCCGACAAGGTTTTAACCTCCTTCACACAGCTTGCAACATACGACTTTGTCACAGTATAACAGTAAAGACCACCGATTCGCGACCTCCAATGTCCCCTAATCTATTAAAATTGTGATACTGTGTAGAGGTGTTTAATGAATAGCGGTGGGTCAACATAAATCGGTTGTATTATAAGGGGTGTCGAGAACAGTGGGGGCATGGTAATTACCTACTGTTCGGTTAAATGTTTATTGTTTGCCTTCGTTATACTGCGCCGAGTGTGCTCGACTTAAATAATAACAAATATATTGTTTGCTGGTGCCAAGTGTAATCACACTTTTAGCGGGTGGTCCGTTAATTGCTTATGTTAAAAGCTAACAAAAGATATGCGAATAATAAGCTTTTGTATCTTTTATCTTTTGTCCTCAAGTGTTTAGTTTTGTTACTAAATATGTTACACGTTTTTAAAATATCGGAGATAGTTTATTTAATAGATAAATATCAGAGAAAAAATACATTTCTCGAATAAAGTCAAATGCGAGTTTCATATCATCATCATCATCATCATCATCAACCTGCCCTTATCCCTATCGAGGGTCGGCACAGTATGTATTACTCCTCCATACATCTCTATAAGCCGTCATATCCGAGTCTATCCCCTTCCTACGCATATCCTCTTTCACACAGTCATTCCATACTTTTTTTGGTCTTCCTCTACCCTTGCAGCCATCCACATTCAATCTCAATGCGAGTTTCATTTAATTGTAAGAAAGGATTCTACTATAAGTTAGATGTAGTTATTAACTAACATTCTGTGGGTTTCTAATACCAATATCCTTATATTATTATCATTATTATCTCCGTTTTGTCAAAGATGAAGGGCAAGGATGAAGATATATTTTATACAGAGATTTTGGTCTTACAAACCTACAGTAAGTGATGCTTATAGACCGACAACACTACTTGAACCGGTGGGAAAGTCAAACAAAATTATGACAGCTTACTAGCGTCCCTCTCTCAACGTCAAAAATGACACAGTTCCTCTTTGTACTGTGTCATGTCGGACTTTAAGAATGTACTGACACAACCATCAAAGGTAGCAACGCCTTTCCAAACGGTTCAGATATCTTTGTTTAACTATACCCTTATTTATGTCAAAGTTTCAACGTCAATCATCGTCGTTAATCCGTCAAACATGCAATTACGATACATTAACTCCGCCGTCATATGACGTCATCTCGTCACTTATTCCTACATTTTCTCCTCCCGCTTTCTTAACATATTTTCATCGACATTTAACTTCTTAACTTCACGTATGAAATGTTTTAAAATATTACGACCCGTTTGACGCAATTACACGAGCGGGCGTAACTTTTAAGTGATGATGTGGGACGTTTTTGCGCTTTTGAAGTGCGGTTAAAATTATAACTCAACCATATTATTTAGATTTTTGGTTTTGAATAAAAATTAAGTTAAAAAAATATTAACGAAGTTACTAAAGATTGACTTTATATTATTAAAGCTCGTACGTTATCCGGATAAAAGAGAAGTTGCGTTAAGTTTTTCATCACATGATTAGGGGCAAATTACTCCCGCCCCCTCCCCCTAACCCCCATCACACTGAGACTGCTAAATCTTCCGTGATCCTAACCAACATCCGAAAAGCTTTCTTAGTTACGACGTAAGAAGGAATATGGATACGACATATTTGCATTATATAATTCGTATTATAGAATTTTAAATATGAATAATAATGCCTAAAAACATATTTCGTTACTGTAAAATCATATAATATACACTAGTTTTTGTGACAATCCGGGATAAGGCAGTAACTCGTGAAATATTTTTGAAGGAAACGATTCATTGGGTAAAAGTCAGTGTGGCATAAAAATACAAAGAAGATACGTGAAATCTTTCCGTTAAACATAATTTTTCGAGATCCATCCCTGTTAACCTATAACGTAACAAAGCCCTAATTCTATATAAATTATCGTAATAAACAAGGCTTATTGCTTAATGAAGACTAATTCTACCTCTAACTCTGAACCCGTACACGTTTCATGCATCCACACCATACTAATTAGATTCTACGTGGAGTGTAACTCCCGTAAAACGTAGACGTATCCTCCGTTAACTTGTTTACCGGGGAATTATCTTTCGTAGCGTTCTACATCTCACGAGGTTACCCGCTACGGCGTAGCTCAAGCATTTAACTTATTAGAACGATTAAATTAATAATGGAGGAGATTAAATACTGTATTAACGTACGTAAGTTATTAATTAAATAGTGTTGAGTAAGTTATATGTTTTAAATTTAATTCGTGTAGGATTATTATTGTAATATTAAGTAACAAATTAGGCCATTTTTAAAGTTTCCATTTCCTTTTTTTTTAAAACACATTTGGTTTTTGCATTAAATGTTAAACATTGAAGTTAATAGTTTTAGACATTATTAGTTACAATCATTTAGAGCGAGCGAGCTTTTGTTATCAAATCAAGTGTCATATCGATTAGTGGGGTGACATAAACATTGATATTTTAATAAGGCTAGTGTTGCGCGGATACACCGGCACAGTGCCAGATTTTCTTCCTAACTACTGTTTTTTTATGTTGTTTTATTTTTATCCATTACCTCAGTTTGCTCTTTAAATTAAGAGTTCCATTTTTTATGTTCAATTAACGCTTGAAGTAGTTAGTCGAATTAGAGGTCTATATTTTAATTGAACGTTATTGACTCGTTTGTACACTATGGCTTTATTAACGAAAGTACTTCATCCAGATTCTCATATACATATTTATGATGAAGATGAATGAAGCCATGAAACATGTTAACAGTGGTAGAGCCCGCTTTAACATCTTCGCACGAATTGGCCCGGCTCGCCCGGTGAAATACCACGACCACACAGAAGACAGGCGTCAAGTGGAAACAATTCCGCGTTTCGTCTGATGAGTGTGCGTCCCGGAGGCCTAATTTAGTCCTCTTTCCTTTCCCACCCTTTTTCTTATAAGGAAAGGATGGGAAGTGGAATTGGACTTTCAAGCTGAGAGGATGCATAGAAAGGGAAGATATTTTCTTTCTGTGCATCTTCTCCTCCGTCGATCAAAGGTAGGCAACGCATATGCAATTGCGTATGTCTATGGGCAACGGTCACTTCGCTATTTCAGCGATTTCAGGTGGCGGCTCGCTCGTTTGCCACCTTCTGATATATAAAAACAGACTTCATTCTCGAATGTTTAGCACTTATTTGAGTATAATATTCTTTAATTAATTGTTAGATAACTTTCCGAAGAATAATTATTAAATCTAATATAAAAATGTATTCAATGATTTTAGAGAAAAAAATCCAGAGTCAAAATTAATTGCTATTTAAATTAAGAAGGAACAAAGAAAGAGCCCTTAAATTCTTAACTAAATCACCGTCGGCGAAAGTAAAACAAAATGACATATTTCATTTTCACCCTCGATTTGATTGTGAAGGAGTGATTGATAAAGAGGCGAGTGAGAGCGGAGCGACGGAGTGCTGCCAAGTAGAATGTACTACAGAACATACGGATATTTATTATAATTATTAAATAATGATTAAAAAAAATAACGTATTTCACACTTTGAAATATATGAAAAATGTTACATATAATGTTTAATTTTTATACGATAACTTTCTGTATTTATGTTGGAAATTAAATTTATGTGTATTTAATTGTTTTTCATCAGGAAAATTTGATACACTTAAATTTATTTTCTGCTACTAATTTAATTTAAAATTTACGAAATAAATAATAATTGGCTTATGTTTTAATTAAATAAAAATCTTAATACAACATTTGATTTTAGTATTAAAATCGATTGTGATATTATTGCAAAAATTACTTTCTCATGATAAGTAACGCAAATATATCATTTTTGCGAAATGTGATGTTTTTATAGGAGAAGTGTGGAAAACGAGCAACGAATCGCCTAATATTATTTGATCCGACGCCCATGGACACGTTTTTCGATACTACATGCAAATATACCAATTTTGTTTATTGGATATAGATTTTATGTGTCATAATTTCATCCCGTACGTTATCATATAATAAAAATTACGATATCACACGTCGCGTCGTTAGCGATTGTCGCACGCGGATAGGGTTGCCTGTCGTGTGTGCAGAGTATGTCTCCAGAGAGCTAGTATCAGTTACATTAATTACAGACATAACATAACATAATAATCATTGCACTGTTGTTACTTTACAATTATTAAGATATATTTCATGGGGGAAGAAGAAATAAATTTTATTACTAACCAATTCTATTTTTTTAGCTGACTACAAAAAGAAGGTGGTAATCAATTCGTCAGTATTTTTTTTGAGTGTAATACTGCGTAACTTCTGGTGGTCCGATTTTGATTTTTTTATTCAATTAATAATTCAAATTTGCAAATAAAGTTAGATAAACTGTTCTGATATTAACTACGTAAGATTATTTTAAAGAAAAAAATGTGTCCAATAAAATTAAAATAAAAATTTTCACTTATTCTTCAAAAGACAATTAAATTTAAATATTAACTTATTGTGACGATTCTGCATAAGATAAGATAAAAAAAATATTTAAAAGAATTGTGTCTACATAACAGCAAGATAATTAACAAATTTCGTAGCGTGCAGTTTGCGTAGCACTTGTAGCCGCTGCAATTAAGGTAAACAATAAGTATGTTACAATCGGTAGCCTCGCGAGGTATATCGCGTCCCCCGGCGCCGCCTGCAGTGCTATTGTCCAGGACATTGTCTTATTGTTCTTATGTTTGCACACTTGTGCATGCTATTGTTTTAGTCCGCGACCCTAGAGCAGCGACAATCTCATCTGGATTGGATTGAGAGCATGACAAATATTCTCGACTCGCGACTGCGTTTATTTTTTAATTGTATTAATCTTTTTTTTTATTTTTTTGTAGACTATCTTATATATAAAATTCTCGTGTCACAATTTTCATTCCCATACTCCTCCGAAAAGGCTTGACCGATTCTCATGAAATTTTGTGAGCATATTGAGTAGGTCTGAGAATCGGCCAATATCTATTTTTCATCCCCCTAAATGTTAAGGGTAGTCCACCCCTAATTTTTTTTTTTTTATGATACAACATACAAATATACATACAATCCCAAATTTTCACCCTTCTACGATCAACCCTTATTTTAAAATAGCCATTTTAGTAATTTAATCATTTTTCATCTCCGGTCGATACCTGATCAATCTACTAATTAAGTGTGTTTTTTATTTCGCGCGGACGGAGTCGCGGGCGACAGCTAGTAGTTTTATAAAGTTCTGCGAGATTAAAAGTTACTTTTCTAAGGTAACAGAAGATGAGTTTCTAAAATTTCATTTAAGTTAGATCAACAATTTTGACAAGCTTCGAATACAAAACATTGATTTTCATGTAATAAATAAAGTCGAACCTGGTTGAGCGAGAGTCCAATCATTGCTTATAAAGGTTTCTTGCTTATCCGGGTTCGACTGTAGTACATGTTACATAAATAGTGTAAAAAACTGTATACATTTCAATGACTAAAACATATCGAAAGTGAATTCAATTCAATTTCTATCAGAAAACAAAAATATGAAAAAGAAAAAAAGGTATTACTATATTAAATCCAATACGTTAGCTTATCTGTCATATTTTGAGTGAATTTGAGGCGAGTCGTAGCATTTAGCGCGAAGGTATGTTCCTCGCGTTTGGCCCCCGTCGTAATCCAATATGTCGGACGGTCGGTGCTTTCTTTTTATATTTTTCGGGCGAATTATCACCGACACTCCGCGACCGGACGAGGATGTGAATCAAATTGAAAGCCGACTCAATTATATTACTGCCATGTTATAGGGTTGAACAAAATGCTTACGAAGAATACGTTAATACAAAATTAAACAAATTTTGCGATGAATTTAAGCTCGAATAGATATTAAAACTCTTCGAATGACCAAAAAGTGAATACGCATGTTCATTGTGTCAACCCTAATTTTCCTTCTCAAGAATCAATAACAGCAATTTAATTACCGTCTTTTGCTTCGCTTTCGTGTAACTTAAATGGATTTGATCTTCTGTTGAGTAAATGCAGTATTTAATTCACGAGATTCAATATATGTTTTAACAAAGTCAATGAACAGAGTCAGCCCTGAATCCCAGAAGCACGTGTGCAAGGTGTGAGAGGGGCTAATCCCGCGCGAGGGGTTACACCGTAATACCATTTCGAGATGAGCGACTTAAACACGTTACATGCCACCATTATAACATGATCTCCCCCGCCCCGAACTATACACAGAGTTAACCTGATATCGAAACGATCGCTCCTATCTACAAAGGTCAAATATCGGTGGTGGCGGTTCAATTCTCAACTGTTTTGGTGGTTTCGGCAACGAACTAGAGTGGATTTTGACAATGGACGGTAGTTAACTAATGGAAGTGGTTAGGTCGGGATCGACGGGCTGAACAAATTGGATATCGACTTACACGTGTACTATGTTGTGTGTCGAGTCGACATCAACAAAGCACTCGTTAAAATTGACTTCCGAATCGGTAAAGCGCTTTGTGTTTTGTTTTTTATTTCTCATACAAGAGATGTTTGTTAATAAGATGAACAAAAACAAGTCTCATGTCAATTTAGTTTCAAAATAGATTCTGTTATTCATATCGCTTAGTTCAGTAGAAAGAAAGTTATGTAAAGTAACCACAAAAATGTGTAACTGTATTCTTCAAACTTTACTTTTAAAAATATTGTATTTAAAACTTAGCAGAAAAAACTACAATTACTAAGTAAAGGTTAAATTTTTGACAACTCAAAACAATCCGAGAGATTTCCAAGCATATATTAAACGACCATAAAAGCTAAGCCACGTCGCCACTAAAACCGAGTCCTGTAGTACTCGGTTCGTGAATTGGGCAATTTTTATTTGTACATAAATAAAAGACGCGCGGTTGTGCCGAGCAATTTGCCTAAAACCGCGTGTTACGTGCTACGCTCCATCCTCTCTTAACCCTGTACAAGGATATTTATAATAATAATTTGATGTTTAAAAATAACATTTGCTTTTATTAATACCGACTACAATATGATTAAAAGATAATAAACAAATTGTAATACATAAACGATTTACATATGTACATTTATCCGACGTTCTTACGGCGAAGGAAAACATCGTGATGCAACCTGCACATATCTGAGAAGAAATTCAAAGATATGTGTGAAGTCAACCAACCCGCACTTGGCCAGCGTGGTTGACTATGGCCTAACCACCCTTAACTTAGGGTCCGAGCCCCTCGGTGGGGACGTATAGTGAGCTGATGATGATGAAACAAATTAACTGACAAGTAAATATGAAAAATTGCCTTTAGCAATAATATCATCTATTTCTAGACACTTATTAGTACTTTAGGACTGAAAATTTTTACCTTTTCTGAAATGTAGAACCTTCATACACTTTTTTAGCAACTCTATTCAATAATATTATATATTCTGCAGTTGAAATTTTATAAGACGAAGTTTATATTTGATGCTTTGAAGGAATACGTTTAAACGTGACTCGTTTCCACTTAACGTATGTTAGCGTGCCGCTCTATCTACATGCGAATGTGAAAATAAAATCTAAAATGAATTTCAGTTTAAAAAGCTCACCCCGCGCGGTAAAAGCTCTCGAGATATCGCTCGCGCCGGCTTCCCGCGGATCATATAAATAAAACTCAATTGCTTCTTACATATCTATTCGTGAATGTAGTAAATATATCTAGAATTAAGTTTATTTAATCACTAGCTGTTGCCCGCGACTTTGTCAGCGTGGGATAAAAAATAGCCTAAGTGACCACAGATAAGCAATTTTCCACTAAAAGTTCGATTGAAATACGTGTCGTTTTGTTTTGGAAATTATCCAGAACAAGATAGAAAGACGGAGATGCAGACAGACAGACGGACTTTTTTTATTTATTTAGATGTTGATAAAGCAAACCCAAAAACAATTTTTTAACCCTCAAAATAGTGATACGTCAAAGCATATTACCGAGACATGAGCGACAGTTAAATCATGAATTTACAAGCTCGGGACGGACATAAACTCCGGCCGTCGACTCCAATAATATCCGCTAGATGGCGGCGTCGCCACGCGCCTCGTAAACCATTCATAAGTTTACGACGTCATAGTTTTCACGACGATATTTATATTAGATGCGACGCGCTGAATATATGAGAGAATGAGAGACTAGACCATATAAATCGCGAATACTTTAAAAAGCAAACTTTCTTTTAAAAGAGTTGCTTTGTATGTAGACAATACAATTCAAGATTTGATAGTTTCTTCAACATTAAAATCTCACTTAATGCCGCAGAGTAGATTTCTCAGAGATGTTCTTTAGTGTACACTTTTATATTAAATCTATATTAAGAAGTACCACCGAGTACTACATTTGATTGCCATATCTAGATTTAACATCTATGTAGATATCTATGTTTCGTATTTTATTTTATAATTTGTTACTTACTTGTACACGTGCTTCAGTAAGATTAATCTTGAGTGCCAGATCCTCCCGAGTGAAGACGTCAGGGTAATGTGTCTGCGCGAATGCTGTCTCCAACTCTTCCAGCTGAAATAAAACGATTTTTAAATATATTCCGACTACCCACAAACAACACTTATAAAGATACGCGTCTATTGTTCCGCGCTAGATACAGCGCACGCACGGATTAAACGGATTTGCTTTGTCTTGAAGCGCTGCGTTGCGGGCCGTGCATGCGATGCGAGCCAATGGGCTCATACCTTTAACCTAATAAGCGATCCTTAATTTGGATAGAATTAAAAGTAAGTCTTTTTTAAATACGTTGGGAAAGTATAAATCGGTATTTTACGTGGCCACAAACATCCATCCATCTATCCAAACTTTCAGTAAGTAATAAGATTACCTGTTGTAATGTGAATGTTGTCCTATTCCTGCGTTGCTTACGCCGTACGAACGTATCATCGTGGATTGCTGGGTGGTACGAATAGCTTGTGTCTGTAAGAAAACAACAGTGTTAAATGTTACCTACATTTCGTTAATATAGGGTGTTTCAAATTAATTTTAGCTTAAACAAATCTCAACCCTTTTATCGTACGTTGATATTCGATGTTGCCATGGCTTCACGTTGATGTCCAAAATATCAATCTGCGGCAGTCAAAAGGTTTAACTCATTTATAATTTTTGAGTAATACAGAGTCTAATAATAATACAGAGTCTAATGGTAACTAAAACAGTCTTTCGACGTAGATTTTTTTACTTATCTATATTAAAAAACCCAGAAAGTCCATTAGTGATTATTTAACAACTAATTCAATACTTAAAACTGAATGTACGTACTAAATAACCTGGGTAGCAATAAAGTCACTTCAACTCGAACTCAAGTGAGGAAACAAGAAACAATTTTTCTTCTATTCAGTAAAATAAATAAAGAATTAAATGGTATCATTATAGGAGGTAGAGTAGCCATAAAATTAGAGTAGTCCGGAAATGCCGGACCATTAGACGCGCAGCGATCGCGCCCAACGGACACTGCTATCTCTATAGTATCTGCACGTCCCCAACTATTGATGATGTGGACACACTCTATTATACTAGAGTCAATATGAATTTATGACATTTATGATAAGTCTTAAGTGTTTTTATTGATTTCGTAGATATTCCATCTTCGCGTCTTTATTTTCTATAGTGATCGCCCGCGACTCCGTCTGCGCGGAATTAAAAAAAACATAATCAGTAGCCAATGTGTTCTTTCAGACTATTTCATATAAGTATGCCTTTTATCGAGATACGGTGAGCAGTTCTGGAGGTACCTTCAAACAAACATTCATCCACCTAAACATTCACATTTAAAATATTAGTAATGTTTTACTGTTTCTTTGTTGTATTTCTGTGTTTGGTATTTTTTTAATTAAATCATTATAGACAATAGAGGCATTATTGAATACAACAAACTTAAAGTATCTAGTTTTAGACATTATTATTTAGAATCATTTGGCGCGAATGACGTGCTTTCGTTACAAAGTCCAGTGTCAGAATGAATAGTGAGGGGACACAAACGACGACATTTTAGTAAAGCTAGTGTTGAGTCAATACACTGCAATATTTTCGGATTTTCTTCCTAACACTATTATAACTAATCCTTTTACAGAAACAAGTTCGTTTAAAAAAAAAAAAACTAATTTAATGAAAACTGTGAAACCTTAAAAATTAAATAATTGCATAACATTGGCCCTACTAGTTTTGGACATCATTATAATTTTTTAAAATAAAATTGATCAAATTAATTATTGTCTCTTAATAAAGGAATATCATGGTTACTCTACATGAGACTAGATGACGACAGATTCAATGAGGAATGGTTATTCTCCCCTATATCGAACTTTTCTATTATTCCTTCTGATAATGTCATTCCGGCACAAGTCGGAGATTGCCCTCGCGTTAGGGATTACAGCTGTCCTCGCCCTAAATGACGTTTATTACTCTTTATTATCTATTTCTATTATGTTTTACTTTACTACCAATGTCTAGTGAGGTATTCAGTTTGATGCTTCCTAATAATTGTTATAAAAATATATTAAAGTGAAAATCTTTTCGCAAAATTACCTCATACAGATCTTACTTATATTATAAATGTATGTACTTACTTGTATGTACTTGTTTAAGAGTGAAGAGATTAAAAACCACTATTTCTAATTGATTCTTAAGTATTTTCTTATCCTTATGTATTAACATTATAAGAAATATAATAAATAACGGTTTAAATGTGAAACATTTTTTTTTATTTTAATGTTTATTTATAAGAAGACTAAAGCATTTTAAGGTGCAGATTAAAATATTTTCATTAATTGAATATTAAATATTGAGCCTTCATTACAAGCTGGAGAAAAATCCCCGGCCAGCGGAAATTAAAAATTGCTCCGCAAACCGGAAGTCGGCGGAGGCTTAAGTGCAGCGGGAAAAAGTTTGAGCGCGCCTCGTAAATGCAACCCCGATTTATAAATAGTGGCAACACAGCTTAGCTTAAAATGTAGGAAATAAGCTCCTTTTTAATTTTAATGTGAAAACAATTGTTATAGTTAGAAAGAAAAGTTTTACTACATAAAAAAAGATTCAGTAGTTTACAATTTAGTTAATTATATATAAGGTATTTAATTTAAAACTAAAATCGATTTTATAACATTAAACTTAAAAAAATATGACAGCAAATGTCACGAAAGTTATCATAGATATCGGAGTTATACAACTTTAATTAGATATACATAGTATTAATTAGTGAAACATATTGCTAAGTATAATTATTCCTACTGCTTCTTTCTTCAGTTTTCAATTCAATTCTTCTGTAGTAGTGATATAGTTAATATTTTTATCAAATGACGATCAGGGAACTAGCAATACGATTGTCCTAATGAGGCCGCGAGGGGGCAGCAGCGGCGCGGTCGGGAAATTGCCGCGTACATATTTAATAGATTCGTTTAAACCTCTTTTTTATTCATCCACTAGCCGCAGCGCCGTAGCGTCGGGCTTTTAAAAACTTCGTTTCGCACCGGTTCGCAATTCGTTAATAGATTTTAAAAATTAACAAGCTTACGCAATTACCGGCGGGCGGGCTGTCATTTTGGACGGCCCTAATGAAATAAGGGCGCTCGCTAACGCCGTTACGAGGGCCTTTGATAGCGTCGCATTAAAGTAAAAAACGCGGCGAGCGTCGGGACTAATCCAAAGTGACATGATCCTTATTGAATTAGTTTGCGAGTAACCGAGTTACGCGACGGCGGTGCTGCTCAAAAACTATTTTATGAATAATAAATGGCGCCGGCGACCAATCCCGGGGGACCGGGGAGCCCCGCCCAGCGGCGCCTTCCCCCTCCCCCGCGACTCACCCCGCGCCCCGCACAGCACACACCCCGACCTGCCTTCTCTATTCATTACCACATTATCATCCCCCACCCCCCGACACCACCCCTATGGACACCTACACCGGACGGGGTAACGCAAAATGATTTTTATAAGGTAGTTAAATCTTTAACTTGGTTTACTTGAATTGATTGGTTTTCGTTGATTGAATTAGTTAATGCTAAACTATAACATAACCACAAACCACTTCTATTATATTTTGGTAAAATTATTATATTTTCCGCATTATAAAAAAAATAGAATCTATAAATAATTCAATTTGAATAAAGAATAAATGTGATTATGTAATGTTTTCAATAATTCAATATACTGTTTAATTAACGACATACTGTTTAACTTTCAACGGATTTTCCTTATGGTAGAGACACCTATTATTGGAAAACTGTTGGGAAAGTTGAAAACGAAAATAGAGTTCTCATTTTAAATTAATATGTTTTTGATAATTTTAATTAACTAATAGCCATGCCTAGATCAAATAAAAAAGATTGAATGTAATTAATTCCATTCGTAATACAATTTCAAAATCAAATAGTATCGAATTTCAAGACAGAATCGAGACGAGGAGGTTTGGGGGGTTTCTTAACTGGCTTAACTCCATTAGCCGGGCTGCGGCTACAACAAACTTGCTTAGTGAAGTTTCGCGACCGATAACTGAGCTAATCGAGGTTCTTGCAAATGCAGTTACGTAACACCATTTAGACATTTAATACAATTTGTAAATTAAATTAAATAAAAAACACTTATCTCTTTTTTTTTTAAATAACGTAAACAGTGTTTGTAACAGTGGTAGAGCCCGCTTTAACATCTTCGCACGAATTGGCCCGGCTCGCCAGGTGAAATACCACGACCACACAGAAGGCAGGCATGAAGTGGAAGCAATTCCGCGTTTCGTCTTATGAGTCTACGTCCCGGAGGCCTAATTTAGTCCTCTTTCTCTTCCCAACGTTTTTCTTATAAGGAAACGATGGGAAGTGGAAGTAGACTTTCCGGATGAGAGGATGCATGGAAAGGGAAAATATTTTATTTCTGTACATCCTCTCCTCCGTCGATTAAAGGTAGGCAAACGCATTAGCAGTTGCGTATGTCTATGGGCAACGGTCACTTCGCTATTTCAGCGATTTCAGATGGCCGTTCGCTCGTTTGCCAGAACTTCTTACAGAAAACTCTAGAAAGCTAGAGAACTAATAATGCACAATTTTATAATCAAATAAAACATCAAAATATCAGTCACAAAATATTTAACAGCCGTAAAGTTTTAACATTCATTATCTTTAGTTCATTCGATGCACAACATTTAACTAGCCTGTATAAAATCCTCTACGCATACAGAAGTAAACTAAATAAGCGTTATTATGATTCATTCAACTTTGTGAAGTAAAAATTAATCATTCCTTTACTTACCCAGTTTACTTTACAATATTAGTTTTATGAGCTCGGTCACTGATTGCCTTTATATTTAAAGCTACACCTATCACGAGGTGATAATCCTGTTTAAAATTATAAAGTATACTTACAAGGGTGTGAAGCGGAGAATGGATACTCTAGCGTGGGCAGGCGGTGCTGGTGTGGCGGCAGGCTCGGCGGGCAGTGGTAGCAGAACAGGCCACGGCCGCCGCCGCTGCCGTTCGCCAGCTGAAATTTACATACTACATAAGTATATGGATCTTCAAATGTTTTAAAGTAAACAATGACAATGTCTTCCGAATATCTTTTTAAACAGACACGATTCTATCCATTTCTTCTGCCATTCCACCTGCACAGAAATTCAAAGATATATGTAAAGTCAACCGACCCGCACTGTGCCAGCGTGGTTGATTATGTGGAAGTCATTATGTCCTCAGTGGGGACGTATAGTGAGCTGATGATGATTCTACCATTTAGTCCTCCTTCCCTTGTTTTATCTGGATGGGAAAAGGAAGGGGACTAGAATTAAGTATCCCACTCGATTCGGCAAGATTCAGAATGCTTCCTTTTCATGCCGTTATATAGAGTTGTGATAATTACGATTGAAATCGTGACAATCGTATAGCCTTTGATGAATGAGTATTACAAATAACAAAGAGCGATCTAATACATCGCATTAGCATAGAAACGACGCCGCGTTAATAACAGGTCGGTCCCACAAGCGCGGATAGCGCTTTGCATCTAGATATGTACTAAATATCGCGCGGTGCTATAAACACGCTTTAAGCGCTGTAATTGTAGCGCCTAGGCCGTGTTGATATATCGTAATCACGCATTGATTCGCAGCGCAGATTGAATGCTAAATCAATGAACTCAATATTTCAGCACTAATTCTTTACTTCTTCATCTCACAGTATTAAATATATTACATTATCATCTTGTACTTATCTCTACGAAGAGTCTACGTATTCTTTTTATCCAAACATCTCTATCAGATCTGAATTCTTCTCTTTCTTACGCACATCCGCTTTCGCACAATCTTACTAATATTATAAATGCAAATGTTTGGATCTATGGATAAATGGGTGGATTGGTGGATGGATGTTTATTAGAAGGTATCACTTGTAGGGTACTAAGTTTTTTTTTTATAATTCGGACGGAGTGGCGTGCAACAGCTAGTCCATCCATACTTTCTTAGCTCTTCCTCTACCTTTGTAACCTTTGTAGTATATTCAATCTTATCAACTAGAGACTAGTTTATAGAACCTACAAATGAATATGATACGTAGTAATGCAGTTGCGTCATATTGATGCAGCAAATGTTCAGATTGTATACTCGTATGTATGAATACAATGTGTGGGTCCTCCCGCTCGCGATGCAATATAGCAATTTACTCATCGAATATAATTGATTTATGCGAGACACGTCCTTTGCAATCTGATACCGACGTAGAGGATACAAATCTATTTCATATTTATTGTCTTTTCATTATTATATTTCTAGAATTAAATACTTACTAATGTTATGTATAAATGCGAATGTTTAGATGGATGTGATGTGGATGAATGGATGGGTGTTTGAAGATATCTCTTAAACGGCTGAACGGATCTCGATTAAATTTGGCATACGTATAGGCCTACGTCCAGCAGTGGACAAGTTTAGGCTGAGTATGATGATGATATGATGATAGAACATAGTCTGAAAGAACACATAGGCTACACTAATTAAGATTATATATATATCTATATATATATTCACGTGGACGGAGTCGCGGGCGACAGCAAGTTTGAGATAAATGTAAAAAGAAATGCAAACAAAACTCGTAGTCTATTTAGTCTTCGACTTATCAAGATGTACAAGATATTAAGTACTTTTCAAGAAATTCATCTTAGATCGTGTTTTTATAATACAAGAAAATAGCATTTTGTTCGAGTCACAAAGTCTTACTTGCAATATCAAGTATTTGAGGGTTTTGAGAAAGGTAACAACATTCTTTTGCGACTTAATAAGTGTCGAGTTATAGAAATTTCACTATCATTATAATGCAACGCTTAATGCTATAAATTTAACCGTTTAAATTTATAAATAAATCAACTAGTTATTGTTGCAACGTATTATCTCGGTATTATTATAGTCATAGTGACATAACTTTATTTGCGGGAGGAAAATGGCAATGAAATTCAATTGCAGGCATTAGGAGCGGCGGTGACCCACGTGCGCATCCTCGCCAGTCGTCAGTATAAATGACATTAATGGTCCTATGAATCGGTTAAACGATGCGCGGGCGCATTCACTGCCGCGGGTGACGTCAGCGCATAGACACTAGAACGAGGGATACTTGCTTCTTTTAAAGATACGAATAATATAATATGAGGCTGTAGGATTTCGATATCTAAAACTTATCGACATTTTTTTAATCGTTATAAACTTACAAGACTGTAAAGCGAGCAGAATCGCATAAAAATACTAACAAGACAAGGGATCATTTTGTTATATTACGAAAGTGGAAGGATACGTTCGATTGCAATAGTAATAAAAACTTCTGATTTAGACTTTTTTTTTAATTAAACAAAACATGTTATAAAATGGCCGCATTTTGTATTTAATTTTATAATCATAATTTAAACAAAGTAAAAAAAGTTTAATAGACAATCTCATATATATAAAGATAACTAAAACTCTATTTCTACATTCATTGTATCTCTGATTGTATTGGCTCGTCCTGTCTGCGCGCGTGGGGTCGTGTTCCTGCTAATCCTGTTTACAGTGTCGTTGTCGCATTACAACACCCACCGCGACGCATCCGTGTCGTATCCGCGTCGCACCCGTGCATCATACGTGAAGCAACCGAGCGTATCTTACGTCCCAATGGCACGGATAATTTAATATTGTTAACACAAAGCCAAAATACGTAAATAATTTTATTTTGAGAATTTTCTTCAGTTCATTAAATGTGTCAATTTTTACTTAAATAGCCTTTAACTACAATACATTTCATTAATATTCATATGTATTTTTATAAACGTTCGAATTAACTAAATTTCCGTTAAAACAAAATAAATGACAAAAGATAAAAAGTGTTTTGAATGCATATACGCATTTTTTTCCTCTTTTGAATGTAGATTAAAATCAGTATTCAGCCACTTATTTCATTAGAGTATAGCACGTCACAAAACCCACCGGGATTGTTCTTGAATTGAATATAAACGAGAAAAATTCATTAAACCTTTTTTGTAGACACCAACCATCTTCCAAGGCGAGATTCTTGTCACCAATTCAAATAAAGAACTCTTTTGTCCGATGACATGTTTAGTATGAGAACTGATTTTTAATCTGTGAAATATTTATAAGCATTCATATATATCGTTCCAATTCACGCACGTGTGTTAATAGTCAAATAGTGTTGTAACCACCTTAATTAAAGTAAAATAAATTCATAGTGAAATCATTCCTATATCTTACAAATATTATAAATACGAAACTTTAGACGGATGGATGATTGTTTGAAGGTATCTCCGGAACAACTAAACGGATCTTAACCCTTATTAGCCCTAGAGTTTCAATTTTGATACCAATCTTTTAAACCGAATGTTCACATTACTATTAGTTTTTTTATAGGTTGGCTGTACCTATTTTACTGTTGTATAATATTCTTTCCAACGAAATTAAAAAAAAATCGTTATTGTTTTATTTTAATAAATCACTTTCGTATGTAAATCAGGCTACTAATGGTTAATGAAATTTAGCATAGGTGTAGATCATAGTGTGGAAGAACACATAGGCTACTCATAACGTTATTTTTTTTTAATTTCGCGCGGACGGAGTCGCAGGCAAAAGCTATTTATTTTATACAATTATTACATTGGACATTTGATAATATATCAAATTAATTAATTAAAATCAAATCAAAATTAATATTTTATAATCATCTGTCTACATCGCAAAACATTTCGCGGCATTGGTTAATTGGAAATTATCATTCAGTATCTGTAGACATTCGTTTGTACAAATAAAACATGAAAGCAACGCCGAGTTAATTAACCCATTTGACTCGAATTAATCCAATTGGAAGCTGGAAGTTGGATCGAAATTAAGCGATACAGATATAATTTTCGTAGCAAATTGTGTTTGCCTTCGTTATTGAGATTCGTACCGATGTTTGAATTACGAATGCGCTGGAGAATATTATTTTCTCATTTGGATTTATTAACGTATACTTTTTACGATATTTAAATTTTACTTTTATTTCAAATGACTTGTTATATGTCGATGCAAATTATTATTGAATATTAAAACATGTTATAAGAATATAAATAAAAATACCTATATAAATTTTAGATAGATTATAAACTGACGAATTTCTATATCTGATTATTATATTTATGTACTACTAGCTGTCGACCGCGACTCCGTCCGCGCGGATTAAAAAAAAGCTTAATTAGTAGCTTGTGTGCTCTTCTAGAATATTTACATCCCTGCAATAGTTCATCGAGATCCGTTGAGCTATTCTGAAGATACCTTTAAACAAACATCCATCCATCTAAACATTCTTATTTAATATTATATGATTTAAATGTAACGTAAATACATAATAATGTATAGGATTGGTGTCAGTCGGAGTTGATGTTATTGAATTATGTTTAATTCACGTGGCGCGATGCCCCGGAGGACTCGGCAATTCGATTCCGTCATGCAAAATTGTATTATATCGACGCTCGTAATCATAGCTTCTATGCCCTTGAATTACAGCTAACGTTTAAATTAAATATGTAGCTTACTAATTTAATTTAATTATAATGTTTGTTTGAAGTTATTTCTGGAACAGCTCAATGGATTTTGGCATAGACATAGAACATAGTCTGAAAGAAGACATAGGTTACTAATTTAGTATTTTTTAAATACCGCGCGCATGGAGTCGCGGTCGACAGCTAGCTAGTGTTCAATCAAAAAGGCCGGTACAGTGGCCTCATAAAACGAAAATCAAAGCGAAGTGATATCAAATAAACTGATTAAATCCAATTGAGTGGAATTATTGTACAATTCGTGCAACAGTGAGACGAAACAATCAATAATATTTAATGACAGTGAGTGCGCGCTCATTTGATATCGAACTTTTACAAACTGTAATGGAGATCAATTGAACAGTTTAAAATTAACTATTAATAAAGGACAATGGTTCAATCGGGGTGCGACAATCCGATCGATCGAGATAAAAATTTTACAGACATACACGTTTTAACTACGAGTATAATAATGTATTAAAAACACATATATACTACGTAAACCAGTTATTTAATTTGGAACAAATATAAATATGTTTTGCGTAATTTGTTATACGTCAATTGATTATTATCCTAACGTTTCAGCAGCAATCAAAATATGAAACACTAGCTGTTGCTCGTGACGCCGTCTGTGCGGTATTAAAAAAACTTAATTAATCTATGTGTTCTTCCAGATTATGTTCTACATCTATGCCAAATTTCAGCGCGATCCATGCAGCCGTTCTGGAGATGCATTCAAACATCCATCCATTTAAACATTCGCATTTATAATATTAGTAAGATTAGTAAGAAGTAAGTTTAGTAAGATTGTCAAACACATATAACAAAAAGCCTTTTCAGCCCAAAAAATAAATTACTAGAGTATTCATTTGTATTTAACAATTATTTTATATATTTTTGCATACCGATACTTTATATAATATATCTATACGCAATACCAATGCTTTTTGAAATATATTCTATTTCCTAAGGGATATCAAGACATGCGCATTGGATCGAACGTAAATATTGTCACAGAGGTCATTGAACTTTGCAAACTTGATCATGAGTTATACGCCTTTATAACTAAAGTATAAATAACTTTAATAATTATTATATTTGGGGATAATTTATCAATGTTTCATAATTATTACCGACGGCCATTGTACAAGAACCCAAAAAGCCCCGGGACCCTTGATAATAAATGATACAAAAAAGGTCGGGTGGATGAGTCGTTTAATTAGCGTTAAGCGCAATCACAACAAAACAGTAAAATAAAATGCTAGCGTGCTTTTAAATAGCGCAGCGCCATCTAGTTCCTTTAGAACGAAACTTATATTTTTATAAACATTGAACTTTTTATTTGCTCGTGAACAGCCATTGATTTCCTTAATAATAGAGAAACTGCAGGAATGTTGCCCGCGTCTGTGAAGCCTTTTGAAATATCTTTACTGGCTAGAGCTTTAAATAGACTGGCTAGAAATTTAAATTTCTCAATTAATTATTACTTTGTTAGGAACTTGAATATAAAAACATTTTGTAACGTCTTACGTTAAAATGCATTTTGTATTTTTTATAAGGGCAACCCTAGGTGTACGCCGTCAATCATAATTTGCGTAAACTGGTCTCCCTGGACTTTAATCAGTTTAAAGCATGATATGCTTCTTTTATTTCAATTCATATCTCCTTTCCATTGTCTAGTAACAATACCATTTTGTTTTAAATGAATTGTAATAATAACGAATATATGGGACTGAAAAAATCGTCTAATTCACGGGTGTACACATATGTTTTGTTCGCATTTTACAATACAAAAGAAATTTAATTGCATAAGATGAGAAAAAAACCATACTGATTTGACTTTGATTCCAACGAAAAACCATTTTTTTTTGTTTCCGTCTATCTGTCGGTCTGTCCGTAAAGTCCACGTTTGTTATCGGGCTGATTTGCACCGGAGTTTCAGGGGAACATTATACGCTACTCTTTTTAATTACGCGTTGACGAAGTCGAAGGCGATCGCTAGTTACGTAATGTAGTTACGTGAGTTAATACAATTTAGATATTATTTTGTTTCAACTTGCACATGTTGAGCGAATCTTTGAACAGAGCACAATTACGATCAATTACGTTGCGAACGTATTGTCGCGACGCAATTATTCTTACTTTATCAAATATACTATGTGTTGCCGATGTTAATTCCTCTCGTTAAATATGTGCAGGCGCCACTAAGAAATTATTATCATCGCTACCCTTTTCCCTACGAAGGGTCGGCACAGTACTCTTCAATTAATCTCTATCAGCCATCATATCTGAATTTTTCCAGTTCTTATATCCTCTTATAAACAATCTATCCATACTTTCATTAGAAATATCTTGCTAATAGTATAAAGGCGAATGATTGGTTATATGGATAGATGTTTTTAGGACGTATCTTTAAAACGGCTGAACGGATCCCCTTGAAATTTAAAATTAATATAGAACATAGACTGTAAGAAAAAATAGGCTAGTTATTAAGTGTTTTTATTTTAATTTTGTTACGAATCGCAGGCAACAGCAATATATAATAAAGAACAACTACGTAACCAATCTGTAACATAACCTAGTAAATAATGCAATATGCGTATCTCCTCCCCCCGCCACCCCCAGACCGAGGCATTCCGGCATTAACTATAGCAATAAGCAAACAACTCAATTTACCCAACTACTTTACTATTCACAAAAGCCCGCCAAATAATACCCACTCCCCCCCTACCCTAGTAGTTTCAAAGCGTGCATATAATTCTCGAACATACTCGCGCCAGGTTTAGTTGGATCGAGTTAGGGTTAAATTGCGAAAGCCTTCCAATATTGCACTTAATCGTACGCTAAATGAAATATTACAAAGTTGAACTATTAACTCGGTTTTCATAGATTTGCTGAATAATGCTTTAGTGTTATGTGAACTGTTTTCATCTCTATGGTTTAAAATGTAATATTGCTTTGTAAGACATTAATAAAAAATGTAGTGTCAAGTCAAGTGAACAAAGTGAGTGAATGTTGTCAACAGTGGTAGAGCCCGCTTTAACATCTTCGCACGAATTGGCCCGGCTCGCCCGGTGAAATACCACGACCACACAGAAGACAGACGTGAAGTGGAAGCTATTCCGCGTTTCGTCTGATGCGTGTGCGTCCCGGAGGCCTACTTTAGTCCACTTTCCTTTCCCACCCTTCTTCTTATATGAAAAGGATGGGAAGTGGAAGTGGACTTTCCGGATGAGATGATGCATGGAAAGGGAAAATATTTTCTCTCTGCGCATCCTCTCCTTCGTCGATCAAAGGTAGGCAACGCATATGCAATTTGCGTATGTCTATGGGCAACGGTCACTTCCTATTTCAGCGATTTCAGGTGGCCGCTCGCACGTTTGCCACCTTATGATATAAAAAATACAACTTCTAATAAATATTATATTTTTTTATTAGCATCCTAAATTCTTTGAGAACGGTAAAATAATTTATGCATGCGTTCAAATTTGTTTATATATAGTTCAAAAAGTCTCAAACAATGTGTTAAATATAGACTATTGTATATAAGAAACAAGTTATTAAGCACAACTTAAGCCCTTTACCCTTTACGGCACAGATTTTTTTTTAATAATTATTAATTAATAGATAAATAACAAACATCGGAACTATTATGATGTAATTACTACATTAATATGTGAGTTCGGTAGTAAAGTGGTAACACCGCAAATATAGTAACACTTACAATCCCAGATTAACAACAAAGGCTGTATCACACGGGTCCGGATCACACCCTGTCTCGCAACCCTCGTTAATAATAAACTACCCTGTGACACCATGCGCAATCGCACGCAATTTCCTACCTGTGAAATATTATTACGGGACACTCTGTCTACGCAAAACCAGTGATATCACTCCAAGGTACAATAATTACTATAGTTCGCATCAAAATGCAATTCTAATTTGTATATATTCGTATATATTTTGTTCTCATTCAAAACTTTATCTAAAAATAAGAGTAACATAGAGTTTTGTTTAAACATTAAACGATTGGGACTTTGATACATTAATAAAGTTAATAACTTGTCTTGTTAAATAAACTGTTAAGTTTTTTGGAGTGAAAGAACAATAATTAAACCTAAAAATTATGTTTTCTTAGCCCGAAAGATTAATATGACTTAATAATAAAACAAACGTTAACTTTTTAACACAATCCATCTTTATAGATACACCTGGCGTAGCAACTTCGTAGAGCTTTGTAGACTTCGTAGCCAATAATAACGAAATAGATTAAATAACTCTATCATTATATTTATTTAGATAATGCAGATTCATATTTCTTACAGCTATGCTTTTTGGGAACCAGTAATAATGAAAGCTGCAAGTTCTCGTTTAATTAGTTTTGGTTGAAACTTGTCGTCGGGACACCGGGACGCTTACCGGGTTTATATCTGGAGAGAATGCGACGGAATGAAAAGACATTTACTTGCTTTATGTTTTCATGTTTCGGTTATATTTGTTTATGATATTTTTGATAGTTTTGGTTATATTCATTCGTTTGATTGTAATCTGGTGTAGCCAGAATGGCTTAATTTTATTCACTATATTTTTTATATTAACTTGGTAATTCGTGATTCAAGTACAAATATGTAGGTTAGTTTGTTTATATAATTCGTTCGTTTAGTTTGCTTTATGTTGGTCTTTATTTTATGACCAAGTAAAATAGTTAAGTATTGACAATATAAATATAATATCATGTAGGTAATGTAAAATGTATCGGTGGCATAGCGCCGGCGAGGGCAATTGTCCGCGGCGCCGGCTCCGATTGCATATCAATACAATAACTCGTTGTATTTGAGCCTAATTGAGCCCATTGCTCGTGAGCCCGCGACGTCTTATTGGCCTTTATTCTATTACTGGCCGCCGATTGATATCTTGTGCAGTGTGACGTTGATAAAACAATTGCTTCGACGCCATCGTGCAATTTCCATAAATTGACGAATTAATAACAATATGTTTGTTTCAGATTTACATCTCAAATGTTCCCGGTGATAGAAATGTATGGAAGAATATTTTAGACCGACTTTATCTAGACCAGGTATATGTGAAAATAAATTGCAATAGTTTATCTATGTCGCGACTTAGTTAATTCGATTGTTACCCTTTTCAAAATACACTATAAGACCGAGACGTAAAACTTCAAATTAGAAAATCTCGACATTTCTTCACTGGAATTTACTATTCTTCAGGTTAATTGTACTGTGCGCCGCCTTTTTCTGAATCTTTCAAAACTAAGGTTAGATTTGCCAGACTCCGCCGCTCGCACTCTTGAAGATAACAAGGTTTGCATTCATAGAGGACACGATCATCATCGTCATGTCAAAAAATTCTACGACTATAGTTGTCCTGTCTTGTTGTAATATTTATGTAAATATATAATAGTTTTATGACAATTTGCAATTTGCTTTTGATGCCCTGCTGTTGTTTTTTTATTATACAACACTACAAAAACAAATTTATTATGCAAAGATACGTTTTCGTAATTTGATTAGTGGAATCGCACGGTTATAGTCTGTTAGTTAATGAATAATAAAAATTGTATATTAATTAATTTTCATATTACGTTATTATCTCCTTAGTTAATAAGATATCCAAAGAAATAATTGTCATAAAAACAATGTTTTCAACAACTTAATTGTGTGTTATCATTTTCAATATAATTTTGAACGTGTTAAAAATAAATTGCTAATTAATTAAAGATAAAAACTAAACCGTAAGTTAATTATTTCTCGTTCATTTCATTAATTGAAAAAAATACTACATAGAGGTTGTTGTTTTAAATTTTTAAACCTAAAATTTACGTCACTCGATCATTTACAAAGCACTATTATCATAGATTATAAAAAAAAAATTTCACACATATAAGATTTTTTTGGTAGAATTTCAAACTTCACTAAACTTTTTACACTTTACAACAATATGTGGGTAAATTAATTAACACATTAAAAATATTTACCTTATTTGCGTCTGAAAATATTTTGCCGCGTTGTATTGGCGGGAATATTTCCCGCCGAAATGCGTGTCAAAGATGGCGCGGTCACCGCGCGGACATCGTCACTCGCGTGCTGAGTCGCGGGCCGCGGAGCGACGACTGCTCCCTCGCTCGGCAGACGGACTGCCAGTGAAACTGTGAAACCGCCCTCGCCAAACAAAACCCCACCCGCGCATCTCAAGCGTTGGCCCAACGACCAACCCAACACGCTACACCAATAGCCAACGTGTCTAGTGCCAATTTACACTTAGTTACTGTTTTAACAGAAACAAATTACTTTCAACATCCGTACTATATTTTTAAAGAAAACCTTATTAGATATTTATGTAAAAAACTATTTTTTAATTAATTTAAAGATAGCGAAATATATATATTTATTAGTCATTTTAGGTTACATTTAGACTTTACTACAGTCTACAATTATAATGATAGTTAAAGATTTAAAAAAACAATGTTGTTTAACTTTTGTCTTGGTCAAAATGCCAACATAGACGTAGCATAAAGAGCATTTTGGCACGCGCCTTCCCCTCCCTCGAGCCTTGATTTAATATCAAACGCGGGCACTGATTCAGTTATGCCGAACACAACTTCATTGCCCATCTCGCTTGCACCTACACAAACATCATGCTGTCGTCTCCCTTCAACGTTTCAGCGTGCGTTAGGAACACCGACGACTGAAAGAGATGGAGTCGCGGCCGCGGACACTTCTTTCCTTCAACTCGATTTGCATGCGGGGGTCGCTACGCAAACTTTATGTCCTCGATTCGTAAATTATTTATACGTTTGGAAATATTTTAACGGCACACTCGGTAGAGAAAGATTGCCGAGTGACGGGGATGAGTGGAATTAAGAGACTGGCCGGTCAGATTACCACACCGGTGACATAATTAAATTGGATTTCCCTCTTCACTTAATAACATATTTTATGATTTTATGGAAAGCAAATGTTGTTGAACTGAGAATGATATTCGCTTGTATAGTGAAGGTTTATCTTGCACAATGTAATCTAACATATAAATTATTTGGAAATATAACGAATACTAATTTGTAATTCTAATGAAAACACATACATCGAGGCTCTTTAATCATCTATTTATAACTCAGAATAAATAAAAATTTACTCTTTAAAACAACCTAAACCTGAACATAAAATTCTATATATATTTTCGTTAATTGTTGTGTTAGTCGAAGTAAATTAACAAAATAATCAAATCTACGTTAGCGTAAGTTCTCACACCTCGCCGCTCCCGAACTCCCTCAGCAGACCTATCCAATTACCTATCATCGTATTATCCGGTACACAATCAACTAACTTCCAACCGTGACCTCTTTACTAAACTCTTAGTTTACTCAATAAAATGTTTTAAATACATATTACTTCTTATCTTAATCGTATTATAAATGCGAATATTTAGATGGATGGATGTTTCTTTGAAGGTCTGGAGATACCTTCAAACAAACACGGCTGAACGGATCACGCTTTCATTTAGCATAGATGTAGAACATAGTCTGAAAGAACACATATGCTACTAATTAAGTTTTTTAATTCCGCGCGGATGGACTCGCAAGCGACAGCTAGTCTTCTATCTTTATATATATAATTCTTCTGTGAGTGTGTATGTCACTGAACTTCTCTCAAACGACTGGACCGATTTTGATGAAATTTTTTGTGTGTGTTCATGGGGATCTGGAAATGGTTTAGATTCACAATTTTGTCAGCTGGACAATGTTTTTTTAATTAATTTTTAATTTATTAGTAGTTGTTGATTTTGGAATGTTTTACATTGGATTTGACAGACGGCGCTACCATCGCAGTGTCAAATTTTCAAATTAAATACGTGTAGACAGGACAACGTCTGTCGGGTCCGCTAGTATATATATAAAAATCAATTGATATTCATTAGTCTCGCTAAAACTCGAGAACGGGTGAACGGATTTATCTTATCTTGGTTTTGAAATATTCGTGGAAGTCTAGGGAAGGTTTAAAAGGTAAGAAAAATTCGATTAATTTTCGGAAACTAATTAAGTTTTTTTCATTCCACGCAGACGGTGTCGCGTGCGACAGCTAGTCTATTTTAAATTCGATAATCTTTACAAAGATATGAGCGTAATATTTCTAAGATAGTAGTGATTTGCGTTTTGTCTTTTTAGTACTAATTTACTTATAGTACGGTATACTTCTATTCAAATCTTTTGAATAGTTCGCATGCTGTGATTTAGAAGTTATTTCGTTGATAAATTACGGTTAAATTCACGATTCGTGAAGCTTTAAGATTTTTTGGAATGCTTAAAGAAATAGAAATAAATTAAATAGAAAAATCTGCTCAAGTAACTATCCTTTCTGCATCCAACTAGGTACTAGATGTTTCTTTCCCGAATGATACAAGGGTAATTTTTTGAGTTACGTACTTACGAGTAATTTGTAGATTCGTCTTACTCTGACGTATTGTTACTTCGACTTTCATTAGAATTGTAATACTAATTTGTTTTAATTTATTATAGGACCGCTACAAATATTACCCTTAAAATATATTTTATAGATATAAAACCACGAGGTTTGTTTTTTAATTGACTAATGACCATAAAGATTTTAAACTTTTAAGTTGTAGTAAAGTTGTTTCACTATTTCTATGTATGAATAAACAGATATATTAAATATAATTGTTTGAAATAATAATAAAACAAAACAATAATCCTCGAATTTCCAACTGAGGAAAATGAATCGGCATTATTAACAAAATATACACAGACAATCCAAATAAACTCCTTAATACTTGATAAGCAATCGCTTCAACGTCTGATTCTTTAATAAGAGAACAGATTCAAAATATATTTTCTTACAACTGCCAATGTTATGCCACTGCAAAACTGTTATATTGAACAATTTTGATACTTATTGCTTAAGTAATAAAGGTAGTAGTTTCTGAAGTGAGTTGTTTGTAGCGGTTAACAAATCTTGGAAGAGGTGTAAGTGACAATAAAAGGAGAGCTTAGCTCTCGGCGCCGTCTTCAAGTGGAACAGTGCTGTGCCGACGGGGGGTTGCGGGGTAGACGCGGGGGGCGAGGTGAAGGAGGAGCCGGATACGGCCGTCTCGCTCCGGCGAGCTGCTAGTCGCGCTCATCCGTTTTATTTCTTGTTTGTCCGCCGCGCGCCTTCCCCATTTGCTACATAATTTATTTTAAGCGGGCACACTTAAAAAATTGGTCGAAACGCGTACGGGATGAGCGGGCGACGGGCAACGAGGATCGGCCGGGGAACGATGATAATAATATGGTAAAATGATTTCATTTGAATTGCTTTTCGGGTAATCGTCGGGAAGTTAATGGCGCGGGGAGTCCCCGGACCATTGTTCGAGCACCATTCATTTACGCGCTGAATTTATTTTCGCGCTCTTTTATTACCACTCGAGTTTCAGTCATTTAAGACTCTCAATACATATTCTATGATGTTTGTGGCGTCCGGTTTTATAGCGTCGGCCAAGTTTCTGTCTTATTAAGGTTGTTTTTTCACTTTTATTCAAACTTTATGCCATTTTAATATTGCATAATAGATACTACATATATATTTTACAGGAAAATTAATTTAAAATCTAATGTTGTCATTGTACTAAGAAAATAAGGTTGGTCAGGCTGATTTCTTTGGCCGCCATCTCTGAAAAAAAAAGTTGAAGTAAAAGGAATAACACACGAAGTATTAATAAATTATAAGCATTTTTTAGCTTGTATCATTTCGTTATTTCATTAATGTGCTGATTATTAATAAAATGTTTGAAGATTAAGAATGCGGCTAAAATTATTCGAACAGCTCTGATGAAAATTATTTGTTACGCGGATAATCTATCGCTGAAACCCTTCTGTAACAACGTAAGACAAGCACTTAGCTTTAATTGTTAATTGCTTGGTGATATTATCTTAAGTAAGCAAAGGAATTACACAGATTCATTTTAATTTCCAAATAATCTATCAATTTTAAGTTAGATTTATTTCTGTCCTACTTAAATCTTAGATACATGTGTATGTACATATGTTTAGTCGTATAGCATTAAAGATAATTAAAAGTAACAATAAATGGATTTCGAAAAACATGATTACACTAAAACCATAAAATAAATTATGAAAATAAATAAAATGTTGCCACTTCACATCATTTATTAAAAGACATTCAATTGATTAAAAAAAACAATTTGTCTATGACAAGTACAAAGAGCTCACGGACACAATGACTTGCGAAAACGCTTAATCGTTCCGTAATAACTACATCAATGGATCGGTAATTGTATATCTGTTGTGAGAAGAGTGGAGAGGAGTTCTACCCTCTAATGCCGAAGGGTTGCCTCCCCGCGAGTGATTTATTGAAGAAAGCTTTTAAACCCTTGCGGTCTCCGGCCATTGTTGGAGATTTGTGTCTTGTATTATGCGTTAGGTCATTACTGGTTATGCCCGGATTTGCGCTATTAATTCAATGTTCTGAAGTCATTCCTTCCTTAGTATACTTTTTGATATTGTTTTCTGAATCGTAATTTATGTGTTTCACAAAATATTTTTTTTAACTTAAACTTGATTCATCCATAAGCTTATAAATTTTACTTTATATTCTTGGAGGATTTGTTCGATTTACTTCTTTTATTATACTATTTTATGTTGAAAGGTTTAAAATGAAACTAATGGATACAAAAACTAACTGTCTGAAATTTCAGAAACTCAGATGTTAATTTTTACCTATTCGACATTTTATTTGCAGCGACGAACATTAAATCGTTTTCTAAACATTGTATAGATAAAATATTTAAAGCAATCGTTTCCATTACGTATTTTTATAAAACTTATATTTTTGCATATTACATTATATAAAAATCATCAATTTGGTTTCTTAGCGAAAAATTAAATGTTCAATCTATGCATTTTCACTACGGATTTTAAATAAACGCATACTCTATCGCCATCTGTCGGCCGACATCCAAAAATATGTATTCCAAAATTTTTACATGTTACAAGCTCTAAAAATCCACAAAAGAATTTAATAAAGAAAAGAATTGTTACAATTATATTTTTTCAACATAGTACATCAAAGGAGATTGAAATAAAAAATTAACATTAAAAATGAGGGAAAAAGACATCTTGCTAAGGTAAATATCTAATTTATTATGTATGTTGTTGATGACGACTGGACTGTTTTCTGATTCTCTGCTTTTTTATTAGATTTAAAATAAATTGGCGTATTTTAGTATTAACTTATAGACTTGTTATAGATTTCGTAAAAAAAATATCAAAAGTGTTTTATCACGTAACTTCAAGTTATTGTCTATGGTCTAAAAATAAATTCCAACGTCATGCTATCAAGGTACGCGTCAAATAATTCGCTAGTGCTGCCATCTAGTTGACGTATTAGAATGCTCAAAGGTCGATAAAACAGACCGTTTCCTTTTTAGACATTTTCAAATTAAAACATTTCTGTATTTTAATTTTACATGAAAAATTATAATTTAAATTTTATACTATTATTGTTTTTTACTTAAAACTACACTCACGTTAAAACTACGCTTTTCAACCAATGTCATTTGTAATTCCCGCCTTAAGACAGCAAAGTTTTGACCAATTTGTGAACCCCGCTACAGGAAGTGAGTGATGAAGGTGCTACGCAGGCGCAAATTGACCTTTCGGTTGAAGAACCCGTCGGTCACATGTGAGTGTCGATAAATATCTTTGTTTTAACGCGAATACGTTTTAAATAGTATTAAAGATAGTTTTTGTAAGTATTTCTTGTGGTGAATATATTTTTGTGAAATCGGGATTCCAAATAAGTGTGGATTTTGTGTTATTTTCGAAAAAGTTATGTCGCGGCGCCGGCACGTTTGTCAAACTGCTATTTTTTCATGCGTTATCTCTTTCATTGAAAATTAAGTTGATATCCATGTCTTTCTTTTTATTATTTAACGTGGCACGCTTAATTTCGTATGATTATTTGAGTAATGTGGGTAATTGAAGTGTGCTTTAGCCATCAAAAAGGTTTGGCTTAGTTATATCTATGGAACCACATGTTCGGATACTACACGCCTGTCTTGCATTCTCCACCACATCACATTCAGGCTTGAATTTATTTTTAAAATCATTTTTATACTGGCTAGAAGGTGTATCTTTATAAACTTTTATGTTTAACCAAATTTCTTATACAAAGGCTCCTAGTAAAACGGTAGGTGGGGTTAGGTCATACAATTTTTCACACTAAAGCCCTTTATATTTAGATTAAAGATAATCAAATATACTACATATAATATACTAGATTTTGCCTATTTATCCAGTTTTTGGCATAAAAGTAACACTTATAATGTTAATCATGAATCATTTAAAATCACAAGCAAATCATTCCATCTGCAATGGCCTAAAGTAATAGATTTGTCGCGTCACGTTAGCAAAAAATATTCTATTTTTACAGCGATTTATTATAAAGCTTCCATATTTAAAGACATTGCTAATATATGACGAATTTACTATTTTTATAAATGTGTCTGAAATATTAATTTATTGGTATTCTCAATAAAACAAAGAAAGCTTTTACATTATATTTATTTTACTTAATATGCTTAAATTAATTAGATAATCAGTAAGAACAACTATTCTTCATCCATATGGAGCATATGGTTGCTTGACAAATCTACTTTTTTTTATGTGAAAGTCATTAAATTTCTAACCTTACCTATAATCAAATTTCACATTATTTTTTGTGGATTATTGCTGTAAAAGTTTTCATCTTATTGAGGTTTAAATCAATGTTTATAACAATTAAAAAAAATCATTCAATCTGTTGACATCATATTTTAAGAAGCTTCTTTTCGATAGTTTTCTGTATAGGTAAAAAAAACTGAGATTCTTTTGTACCAAATCGTAGTTAAAATTCTTATATATTTATTATAACTAGAATTATATTAAATTGATACCATGAGTTATTGTTATATATGTTACCCTTTTCATACTTTTGGATTTTTTTTATTACATAGTCTTTCTACACGTCTTATAGAATTGAAACATTATAATTATTGTTTTGATGAAATGTTAAGTTTATTACTCTGTAACAATTTTTTTCAAAGAGATTTAGGCAATTTTCATTTGTATTTTGCTATAACACATTCAATGCCACTATGATTTTTACTGGAAGTGATTTAGCCAAGCAAATAAGTTGTGCTTCATGTGTTAGGACTATCAAAAGCACTTAGAGTTTGTATTTTCTACTAAATATGTCATATGATTTGGCCCACACATGTTAAAGCCTTTTGTTCAAGTTCATTGACACTTAGGTCAATGACTTATGCACTAATTTTTCTTCACACTGACTCATTGCCTACAGTTATATATTTCAAGGTTGCTTTAGTTAGAGGGTCTATATTTGAATTCATATGGCCTTTACAATGTCAATGCTTTAAATATGATTCTTATTCAGATTATCAATAACTTTATGGTACTAAAAAAATTGTCTCTGGTTAAGAAGAAATGAATACTTTCTCTATTAGAAAGCTAGCTTAAATGATTGGTTTTGTAAATTACATCACAATATTGTTAGGCTACACTTATAAGATTGAAAAATTTGATAAAGAAAGGTTTTTAATTAAAAGGTTGAAATTATGCTATATTTCATACTTTGAAGAATATGGTATATTCATAATAATATATCTTTGCATATATCTTTTGTTGGCGAGCCCATAGAGTCGCGATTGTAGTTTACTGTACTGCTGTTGTGCTGAGGGTACTCGAAAATAGAACACCAGGTCCGACTATGCGTCTCATTATACTTGAGTATTCTGAGATCACCGTTCAGGAGTACAGTCCAAATTCACTCAATGGTCATGTGAAGACTAGGATCCGATAACCCATTTAGACTCCTAGACAAGATATAACCTTTTTTATGTAGTTAATATTTATTAGTATGACTATATTCTATATAAAATTTGTATTGAAATAATAATTTTATTTTTTACAGATCATTTCAACAGTAGTTAAAGCTCCATAACACAGCACAATGGGTGATATTGAAGATACACACTTTGAGACCGGTGACTCCGGAGCCTCCGCCACCTTTCCTATGCAGTGCTCTGCTCTGCGCAAGAACGGTTTTGTCATGCTGAAGGGGCGCCCCTGCAAAATTGTTGAGATGTCCACATCCAAGACTGGAAAGCACGGCCACGCTAAGGTTCACTTGGTCGGAATTGATATTTTCAACGGGAAGAAGTGAGTTTTGACCATGTCATTATTTTTATATTGTGGTGGTTCCGTGCCAGTATGTACAATTTTTTAAAATTGTACTTGACAATTGATATGGTCATTGAATACATTAATTACGAGCCCATAGAGTCGCGAGTGCAATTAAATATTGCTCTTGTGCTGAGGGTACTCGAAAATTATATTTCAGTTCCGACTATGCGTCTCATGGCACTGTTGTCCATTGGGATCACCGTCCAGGAATACAAATCAAATAATACTTAAGAATGACCTTTATATTACCATAATGAGAATCTCTAAAAACAGTCAATATAGTTAATAAAAATATGTCAGAGTTAACATTTACACTTCCTATAGCTAATCTTATCATTAAAATTATCAAATTTGTAATTAATTCCCTTAAACTGAGAGGTGTGTCATATCTTAAGAATGCTTGATAAATTTAATTATTTAAAAGGATTAAGTTTTTCTAAGTCTGAATTAATATAGTTAAATAATTTACATATTTTTTTATGTTTTTACTATAGTTATTAAAGGATATATTTAGTGGAGACTATTAGTATAATTACTACTAAGCAAAGCTTACTAGAGCAAGATGTTCTTCTCATTTATTAATGTTGTTTCCTTAAAAGAAGATTGTATGCTTTTTATTAGGCAAATTAATAGCACAGTTATCTATATGTAAGAATATCTGGTCTCCCCTTTATTAACTAAAAATCAAGTTCGTTACGTTTTACCGATTTTAATGTCAAACAATTTTTTTAAATGTCTTTTCCTTGTCAACAGATATGAAGATATCTGCCCCTCCACTCACAACATGGACGTGCCGCACGTGAAGCGTGAGGACTACCAGCTGACTGACATCTCTGACGATGGCTACCTCACCCTGATGGCGGACAACGGCGACCTGCGCGAGGACCTCAAGATCCCCGACGGCGACCTCGGCACCCAGCTGCGCTCAGACTTCGACAGCGGCAAAGAACTGCTGGTATGTTTACTATAAATAGTCAAAGAAAACCTATCTAAATGTAACATTTTAAATGCTATAATTATCAATTTAAACACTGAAACCTTCCAAAACTAGTAAGACAGGGAAAGATATATAACTAAATTTCGTAATATTTATGTTAGATTTAACCACTATTTGTTACTAACAACGGATTTTGAATCCTACACCGTAAGAGGCCGATGCCACCTTTATCGATTCTAAAACTAGAATTAAAAATGTATTAGACGCGCTCGCTTTGATTCAGGCATGATTCACAAAGTAACCTTTACTTTGTAATAATTGATCAGTTTCTAGCTGTTTAGATCTAGTCGGAACTTGGCTTATGCTTTTGAATTGTGTCTTAAATTTTATAAGAATAATTTATGCTCTTTGTTGGAAGATTTCTATATTTAGACAATTATTTATTTTAAAAAAAACAGCTTCTAAGATATTGGTTTGACTATCTTGATATTTGACTTTGTGTTGTAGACACAGTTTCATATTGATAAGTGAAGTTTATGCATTGATTGTTAAGCCAATGTATCGAACATACTCTGACTTCAAAATTGTAGTTAATTCTAATAGATTAATGTGGAAGGGACCGTGTCTAGCTATGGGCAGACAAAGGCTGATAATTTGTTTGGTTGATTTAAAATTTATTTGTCCCAACAATTTTGTACTAAATTATATGTTACTTTTACAATTGCTTATATCAATAGAATAATTCATGAGGCATTGTTGCCTTTACCTAATGAGTATCGAGTATAGAGTCTCTGACAGGTTTTCATAGCTTGCTGGTGCTAAATTTACTCGGAAATAATATTTCTAACTAAAACCTGAGCTAATGTTTATCGTCAGCTATACGGATCATATAGTTTTGAGAACAAATAGTTTTTTAAATTTAAGTTTTAGATGTGCTTCCAATTTTAAAATTGCCCCAAAACAACTTTCTCATGTTTTTTTTCCCTTGGTCTAATGTGATATATGCAATTATATTTAATTTATCTTTTGTCTGTTTCCAGTGCACCGTGCTCAAGTCTTGCGGCGAGGAGTGCGTCATCGCAGTCAAGGCAAACACAGCTCTCGACAAATAAACAAACTCAGCATTTATAGGGTTTTAACAATCGTACTACAAATATAATTTTTTTACAATCAAACAGCTCTTACATAAATGTAAAACATAATATTATATGTAATTTAACATAAAAGAACGCGGTCAGGCGCGGCTCGAGGCTAAGCTTTCTTGAATTTAATGTCGAATGTACCCGATAGTGTACATCTGTGTATGGAGCCTTCCAGAAACGTCGATTATGTGGTGCGCCGAGGTCGCCGCTCGAATTTGTCAACCTAACGCCCTGTTGCCTTACTTAACCCGTTGAGTATATTAATACTGCACTGATTTTAGAGTCTGTAGTGTGTGCAGTAGTTTCCTAAGGTTACATATGTCGGGCAGACGGGTAGCTGAGGCCGCGCCGCCGCACTAAACTTCATGTTTGTCTTGTTTTGTTTGTTCTCTTTTCGCTTACGTCTACATAACGTTCAGTTGCGCCGAAATGCCTACAGTTTGTAGACCGAGAGGTCGGTGTGCGAGAGGGAGAGAGCGAAAGGTTAAATTCTGTGTGGTCGGTAAAATATTGTTTTATAATGGTGTTATTAACATAACGAAAAGATGGACGCAAACTTGAAGTTCTTACCGATATTATAAATGCTAAATTGATTACATATACAGCCCACATCAAAAAAGCAAAAGTTGAAAAAAAAAATAGAAATAAAGGAAATTATTGAATGTGTTGTGTGATTGATTAGTCCTCTACTTGGCATCGTGATTTCGATCACTCGGTTGTCTTTTACTTATATATTATCCCTAAATGTGTAACACTTGCCATCTGTTCAAATGAAATGATCGGTCCAATAGTCCAATTTGCAATGTTTAAGAAATTTTTCACCACCAACTCTGATAAAGACTGACAATGAACTGACCATTTGGAATCAATCGCTTCAGCAAAGACTGAAATTTGCATTTTTAGATGAAATAGTATTTGTTTGAAATTAGTAACCGTGCAGCGCTTACTTTGGCCTTTCCTTGCTCTCTTTTTGTTTAGTTTGAACAAATGTAATATGTTACACATCGGCTCTGGGCTGCCGTAGCGCTGGTGACGTAGGGTACTTTGACTGGTTCCTCTTGGACATGTGGACTCATCAATTTTATCAACATCAGATTGTCAAAGACGATATGATATACGAAATTAATGTAAGAATGTAAGGTAAGGCCCTATAGGAGAGATATTTTTTTATGCAGTTGAAATTCTTTCATCGCGAGTAGACTTAATATTCCTAGGCTGTTTTGTAGAAAAACAGGTAACCCATTTTTTTTTTAGTTTTTTAAATCTTCACCATTTAATTCATATAAATGGTATACAACGCGACTTTATTTCCTAAACTTTGAATATGGATTGTATCTTTTTGCTCGATGTTTCGATCGAAAATTACGTGACGCGAGAATTCAACAAACATCCTCACGTAATTCTTATAATATTGCCAGTACTTTGTACCTAAACTTCGAGAAAAAAATATACGTGTCTTATTTTTAAGTTACGTGATTAATCGCGTTGTAATACCATTTTTCATAACATTGAAACTTTCATTTTGTCTGTACGTCTATAATTGCATAATCGTTATTGTTGGTAATGTTTTTATACATGCAGCTTGTAATCAGAATTATTTTATAAAATAATTACAACAAACCTAAGGTATCTGTAAAGACATCGGGAGGTGTGAAATAAAATACTTTAGTCAGTAATAACTATTTTTTACTAACGCTGTCGTGTGCCTTCCCGATGACGTCATGACGGTACTTTGAAAACAGTCTAATGTAGAACTTATGCATTAAATGTGAAATATTCTTAAACCGTTTAGATGTAATGGCCATCGTTGCACCTATAATTTATTGCGAGTTAATGTTTCTGTCGCACACATGGTCACAAACATTCATAGAAATTTAATGTGACAATATAAACTGTGAAATTTCAAGCGAACCATGTGAGCGAGGGCGACTTAATTGTAAATGCGAATTATTATTTAGACTTTAATTATTTTTTTAAGGGGGCGAAAAACAAGGCTTATATCTGTGTGAAGGTAAACTAAAGTTGTGTATATACTCGAGGATTCATAACGATCGGAATCTTTATAAATTTCTACAGTCCAATAGAACTTTTCCCGACTAATGGTTGTTGTTTTAATGTAAACATGCGAAAGTTGACCGAATTTGATAGTAATGCCCGAATAAATATGGAACTCAGTAATAAGTATTTAACAGTCAAATTAAATCTGTACAAAACAACACCGTGACTTGTGATTTCTTTTAGTTTATTTTTTTAATTATTAATTTTTATTTATCGAACCAATTTATACCTGATGGTAAATGTCAACCCATATTTTAGTGATTATTCTTACAAGATGTTGCACTCTGAGTAAAAAATTATCTAATTGTAGGAGTACACCACTACGGGACACGGCTCTGGAAACTTAAGTATGAAAAACCTGCATTTTGTCTATGAAAAGTGATTGACCTTGATATTTAACACAACCCTTTGGAGAAGGCGAAAGTATTTTTAGAGCGTAATCTGAGAAAGGACTAGAGAAATTACTGGTTTCAACAAATATCGCAGCGTGCGACACGTACGTTACAGCCACAGGGCTAAGTATGCGACAATTTAATCTTTTCAAACAAATCATGTTTTTATGAAAAACGAAGTGAAACTAATACTTTTGTATAATTTTTTAATATTTGTCCCATACAATAAAACTTAACGCATATTTACACAAAATATACATAAACTAATAAATCCCAATATATTACATTTATATTTGATAATAAAAATAATTTCATAAGTGTTCACATTAAAGACATAGGAAAAGCCATCAGATGTTTGAAATACTAAGTAAAAAATAAATGATTCTAAAATGAAAAAGTTGCAATGCTAAACAAAAATTTTAATTAGTTGAGAATCTTCTCCATTTTTTAAGTCTGTTGCAAATGTCATAGAGATATGGCACTGCCTCTGAGAAAAGTGAAACCAAGTGAGCTTGACAAGTTGGGGCAAATGTGCTTTATTCTTCATCTGAACTATCGGAGATTTCAACAACAAGGAAAGGATCTTCAATATCCTGTACTACAGCTGTGTAGTTATCACCAAGTTCTTCAAGTTGTTTGGCAATGTCTTCAGTCTCCTGTTTCACTTCAACTTTAACAATGTTCTTTGGTACATCTGTAGCATTTTCATCATCCATGCAATAATTTGATTTACTATTTACAGTTAATACACTTGATTCTCCATTATTTTTATCTTTAGATGGAAAGTCTTGCATCAGTGAAAATCTAAAAATACAATTTAAATTTGTAAGTATTTTAAAAAGTATACTGTTAACTTTTAAGCTGAGAAAAAAAATCACTATAGCTTAAGTTCAAGAGGTTCCTGCAATTATTTCACAATATAACAATAAATAATTTTTACAAAATAACTACATCTGTCAATCTTTTTGCTTCGTAATACCAACTTGAGTTAGCTCTGCCGAAAAATTTGCGTTTTATTTCCCCCAGAGATGTTTCCGTTTTTTTTTTAATTGGAAAGTGATTTATTTTGTGACAAAAGAGTTAAAATTAGGTAATTCAACCCCTTACTTATTTAAAATCTTAGTTTCCTTTATATTCGCCTGCCGTTTATTTTCCTGCAGTCGCGCTTCAAGTTCCGGGTCATTATCTGCAGGATCTTTGACACATTGTTCTTGATCCACTAATGACATAAGGTGGTACCATTCTTGCTTTTGCCGCCGCTTTTGAAGCGCGCGACCGCACTGAGTAAACAATGCTGTGGCTGAAGAATAGAAAATATGTCACAAGAAATTAAAAAGTTAACACTTTCTATTTTAGGGTAATAAATACAACCATTGTAGCTTTTAAAAAAATATTAGACTTTGGGAATTGATATAGATTAGACACAATTTTATATTTATGTTAGAATGGTCAAGTGGGTTATCTGTAAAAGCTAATTGTAATTTTACTAAATTATTGTGTAATTTACTTTGAAAGCTCACCTTCATTCATAACCCTTGATTTATTCCATGAAAGTCCATCCTCTCTATTTGAAACAAGTACACATTCAACAACATCATTGAAATCTGGGAACATAGGACAGCCATCTCTGCCAATATTATTGTTTAGAAATGCTTCAAGTCTTCTGACCGGGCCCGGCAGGTGCCCTTCTTGTACTTTCAATGTTATTTTCTTACTTTTAATATGCTCTGTTCCCATTAATTCACACCATCTCTTATATAGATCAACTAAAGTAATTTTATATCTGAAAATAATGCTGGGTAATGAGGTAAGGTACTGGCATAACCTGTAATTTATGCCTAAATTGGTTTCCAACACCCTGTCAGTAAGTGGATGATAAAGTAGTAGGTTTGAAGTTAATGTTTAATTTCTATCTATATAAATTACTCGCTGATGCCTGAAACTATGTCTGAATTTATCAAGATCTGTTAAACCATTCTAGTGATGCATTAAGTTATATAACATATTAGTAAGATGTAATAAATGTACTTACTTTTCACTTAAGATATATGGAGATGTAACCTTATCATTTAAAACTTCTCTCTTCTCCAACTCTACAATCTTTTTTCTACACTTTGCCATTAACCTTTCCAGTTTTTGAACCTCAACTTCTTCCGAACTAAAACATACTTCTCTATTTGGTATTAAAAGAGTATTTTCATGATTAACATTTAATACATTTGGATCATTATTCTCTATAACATCTATATTTTCAGACATCACTAAGTTTGTAGAATTAGATAGCATTGGTTTTGATGTTCGTAGACAATCAACACTTCTTGTTTCAATCTTATTTGCATCATTAATGTTAACTCCATCATCATTTAAAACACCATCTTCGTCTACAATAACTACAGGTGGTTCATAATTTTCTAAATTGATATTTGTTTTAGCCTTTTTATTGTTATTATGAACATTGTCAGTTTTTCTCTTTGAGCTCTCTTCTGTTTCTTTTCCTAGAACAAAACTAATATAAGATGTTTATTAAAAATTTCTAAAGTTAAATAATTTAATAAAGTGTTAATTTACCTTTTAAATTTGTTGCTAATGTTTCAAAAGGTACTTTTTTCCTAAATTTATGTAACTTTAAAATTTCATAGAAACCTTTTATGTGAGAATACCTATGTATTGGATCATTTTTAAATAGTTGAATAGTGTTTCTTAAAACTTTATTAAATTTTATTGATTTACTATAACTTTCGTCCATGTTTTTGTATGCAGGGATTATCAGTCTTTTAAATAGACTCATCATTTCATTTGTATCTGCTTTATTTAGACATGTTTGATATAACACAGATAATAGTTCATTTTCTTTAAATAACTTTTGCTCTTCTTCATCATCATCCAATAATATGACTTCATCAGACTGTAATATAAAGTTATACACAACAATTTAACTTCTACTTAATCTAACTTAACTTTGCTAAAATAAGACCTATATTAAAATTAAAAGCTAAAGTTGTAAGACCAACTATTTTAAAAAAGCGATAAAAAGAAAAGTTTTATTTTGAAACTAAAACTATAATAGTTTTTAGGTGTTCATTGATTAGAATAAATCAAACAGAAAATTGGTACAAGGAAATAACGAACTTTAACTTAACGAATATACGATAACCGCTATCTGTTTCATTATTTTCGATAATTTTGTTCAATAAACTGTGTCAAAGTGCCAAATTAACTCACCTGTGAATCATCCAAGTCAATAACCTCACCATTGCTCATTTTTATATATAAAAAAGTAATAAATAATGTTACAAAAGGCACATAATCGAATTGATTCTATATTTTGTACAAACTGGTACAAAAATTTGATTTTGATTGACATTGACACACCACATACTCCAATTCCAACCATAGAGAAAGAATTGAACCAAAAACAAATGGACTAGTGTTGGCGACTAAAAGCTTCGTTTTTCGTTGGTAAATTACTCATATATAGGTAAGCAGTCTACTTAAGTCGTGGTAGCTTTGACTTAATACAGTAATAAGAGTTTTTTGAGAATTTAGTAAACAATCTTAACAAATTTTAGCGAAAGAACAAAATACAACGCTATGTTTTTGTCAAGAAGATTTTGGAAAGGCGAGTGAAACCAATCGAAGTAGTGGAAACGTTTAAAATTTTAACCAATGCATTTGCATGTTACTTTGAAATAAAAACCCAAAATCAGATAAATAAATCTTTTATTTAGAGAGGCCAATTTAATGCTATTGTGAACGGAGGTAAACACAATTCCTCCTTTTGTTAGCAGTAAACATTTAGTAACAATAAAAACTGGCAAATTATAGTTTTAAAAATTAGTTTCAGCGATTATCGTTATACTGAATCTCTTATTAGATATACCTTAATTAAAAATACAGTATTCTTAAAAATAGAAAAAAAATACTAAGCAATAAAATGCAATTGCAAAACATGAGATGGAAAATATCAAAGACAAATAAAACTGTGATTTATTATAGTTAATAAACTGAAATACAGATTCATATTCATTTTTCTTACATCACATAATCAAAAAAAATATTTTCAAATCAAACAGACTATTAATTAAAAGCACCACATATGATGCATTAAACATCAAACAAATTTCTTTTCTTATCTTTAGTAATTCTTAAAAAATTTCTCACATTCTTTATTGAGGCTACTTTGGCGTCCCAAATATTTTTGTTTTCCTTGCTAATACTCATCTAATATCTCCATCTCATCTGGAAAATTATCACATTTATTTAATACCAATACTTCTTGGTAATAACAATATTAGCTACAGATTTTACGTCCGATTATGGCTTGGGTATAACTCATTAAGAGTGTCAGTGGCACAGGGTTTAAGCGCTTCAATTGTGTGCAATCTGCAGGTCCTGGGTTTGAATCTCGCATGTACCAATGTGACATTTTCGTCTTTAATTTACATATGACATTTATCCGACGATCGTATGTGTATTCATTTGTGATAAAAAGTTCCAAGATATGAGTTGAGTCACCGGGCCAGCATGATTGACTATGGTCTAGTCACCCCTGACTTAGGGTGGGCTCCGAGCCCTTCAATGGTAACCTATAGTGAGCTGATGACAATGATATCTTGTTTCGAATTCCTTACACGTCTATCATTATTAAATTCTTAAGTTATATTGTTTAAATTGTGTTATTTTATGAATGTATTGTATTTACCTATGTGCAATGTGAGGTGCTCAGTCAGCGCGTACAACGTTGCGCCGCTGAAGCGCGAGAGCAAGGTCGTGCTGCAGCGCGGCCGTCTTACGAGCAACATCGGCAGGCACCACCGACCTCAGGCCATTCACTATGTCTTTTGTCTTACCTAAAGTACATATTTCAATTCAGATTGTTATAGCTCATTAGTTTATAAACTACTAAATATAGAGGTTGTTAGATTGCTTATAGAATTACGAGTGCCTATTTGTTAATGATCCACATAACATTCCAGCTTTTGGCAGTATTCCAGTTCCATTAATAAATGGTACAAACATATATTTGAGACTTAACTACTCATTGACAAAATATATTTATACAAAACTAAAAATTATGGAAACTATGAAATAACAGCTCGCCTGTTGCCCACTCTATATTAAAAAAAATTGATAGCCTATATGTTCTACATTTTTACAAACATCCATACATTCAAACTTTTAATTTATTAGTAAGATTAAAGATACAAATAGAAGTTGCAAAACATACCAAAATAAATATCGTTGAGAGTATTCCTGATCTTGTTCTCCATGTCCTCAACCATGCGGCCAATGTTGGCAATGTGTGGAGTGACGTCACTCACTGCAGAGTCTTGTTCAGCCTGCAACATACAACTGATTGTACAATAGAACTGGCATCCATAATTCAGAGGGGTAGGCAGAGATTATGAATTTCCTATTTTTAGACATTATGAGCTAGAATCACATCTCGCGAATGTGCTTTCGATACCAAGTCCAGTGTCAAAACGAATAGTGAGGCTGGTGCTGGATCAATACACTGCCACATTTTCGGATTTTCTTCCTAACACTATACTGTATAATAACTAAAGCTTGTATTCTAAAGATTAATTAAACATTATTTTATACAATTAATAGTTGTTTTACTAATTTATCCTATTTGTCATAAATTTTCCATTTATATAGGAGCCATTTTACCTGTCTGGTCAAGCTTCCTCCTAGGTTCATAGTACCGCTGCCTTCCTTATTAGTCTGCAGCCACAACATAGCCGTTGAGGTCAGCTTATAATGAGCATTCCTGCCTGAACTCTTCTCCACTACTTCCACAACATGAATTGAGTCCCAGCAACCTTTAATTTTTTGGGAGCCGTCACCAGCTTTCTTTATAAGTATCACACCTAAAAATATTCACAATAAATGCAGGGTCAGAAAACTTTATATGTAAATTGTTAAACTTCAAGATTTGCAAAGGTATTAAAGTTGACTAAGGCTTCTGACTCCTATATTAGTATTCTTCATTTTAAATAAATATATCTGCATTTCACTGTCAATATTAATTACATGCAGGTTGAGATATTACTTTGTAGTAGTATTAGGGGTCTATGGACACCAATTTCAAGCAAGAAATTTAATTTACAACACAAAAATTAATGAGCCAACAATACCTGCAAAACCATGATCCATGTCCCATAAATAAACAGAGCTAACTCCGCCCTCAAAATACATCTCACGATATTGATCAAATGCGTGATTAGCATCAATTTCCAGTTTCCTCAATCGTTCTGAAGGCATTGAGCCATCTTCAAGAGGTGGATCATATGTGTTTGACCATGGTGAACGATACGAGTCTCCATCACGGTTGTAATCACAAAGAAGATAATCTTTCCCGTTGCTTCGATCTTGAGCAATCTTCAAGGGTTGGTCTACAGACGACAACAAGTCTTCGCAAAGACTTGGGACTAGGTCAATTAAATCAGTTAGATTTTTCTCGATTTGTTGGGGTGGCAGCCGGCGCATTAAGTCTAACGCACAATCCATCTGTTGCTCTGTCTGAAATATATAATGAGAATAGTTTAATATCAAACTAATCGGTAACATTGAGTATTAGTCATCAAAAACATAATAAATAACTATATATAAATCGCCTCTCCGGAATAGAAAAAGTAATTTTACCATGTTTTATTTAAATTTTATACAAGTTGACAACAAAAGATATTTATTAGATATTATTTTAAATCACAGAAAAACTTTAATTGTTAAATTAAAAACCCTTCTTCCAACTATGGATGGCAGCTATATTTGACACATGTTAATGCGTTCTAAAACGACTATGAACTGTATCAAAAACTATTAAACCAATTGATTTATATCCATTTTATATCCAACTTTCAAAAAGAGACTCGAAAATTTTACTTCAAAATAAATTTTACTTTCAAAAAACATACATTAATAACTTTTAACATTATTAACCTATTTTTTTGCGAATTTCAAAAGCAATGGATTTTATACGTGTTTCTAAACTTCGTCAACTTAACTGTTGACGTCAAAACTTGTCGTTTTTTCACTTGACCAAATTTTGTATATTTGTCCCACTTACACTACCTGTTTTTGGCGTTGGTCGGATAGAGTCCAACTATTTAACTGTGTTCATTTCGGTTTACCATTCCTTCCTTTTTCGCCGCTTTTAAAATCTCGGAATGTGTATCTGACAGTTTGTCAACTCAATGTTGTTGTGTCAAAATTTTGTTGATAATCCTTTTTTATAAATAGGTATAGTATAATTATTAACTTTATAATTTGATAAATGAAATTTTTTACTTACTTAAATACTTAGATAAGGTTACTATTTTCTAATCTTGTTTGCTTGAGGCTTGTGTGTCTTTGAACATGATTCATGTAATGGGAATGTAAACCATGTTTTTGCACCTTTGTCTATAATATTTCCGCCAAAAAGGTGTGCAGGCATTAAAATTAGTTAGTGACGGTTATGAATTAATGAATGGGTGCTTAATTTCTAGAGCGAGACGACTTAGTAGGTTATAATTGTGTACTTGAACTTATTCGGGTGTTTCGTCAATTGTAATAATTATCGACATGATATTTAGATTGACTTGTGTTTATTTTCAGAATAATTTTTGTGATAACGTGCTGATCTTTTGAACGAGTGTTAACACCCCTGACATGATGCCAACTCAACTGGTACAAGACAACCACGCGAACGACGTGCGTGTAAAAACTGTTTACAGTGGAGATGTGATGATAACATACATCAAACATAATATAACACTTGAGGAGTTCACCCAAGAGATGATAGCAATATGTAGATTCCTACCTGATCAGGTTAGTAATAAGACTTGTATAAATATGTGATAATTTATCAACTTGTAGCATTCATTGCATGAAACTAAAAGCCTACAGTGATATTTGATGGCTGTAATCCACCTGTAGAGCTCCAATCCTTCAAACATCATTTGCTACACCTTGTGTATAACAAAACACAAATAAAAACCAATTGAAAGTCACTTCTTTTAGTTGATAGTATGAAAAGAATTAGGTGAATGTAATCAGTAGTTATTAGTAGTTAATAGTAAACGTAAGAAACAAGGCAATCTTACTAATTTTATAAATACAAATCTTTAGATGGATGGATGTTTGAAGGTATCAAGAATGACTGAACATAATTGGATGAAATTTAGCAAACATACAATATAGTCTGGAAGAACACATATGTTTTTTAATTCGCACGGACGGAGTAGCGGGCAACAGCTAGTTTTAAATAATTGTAATAGTTCTAGCCCATGCTATATGCTCTTCTGTATCTTAATTACATTTATACATTAAACACTATGAACTTAAATAGATAAAATTATTATGAATTACCTTTACCAAAATTAGAATTCAAAAACTCTTAACAATCTAATCAGAATATAAATTTAAGTATATTTAAAACTTTAATTTATCATCTTCAGGTGTTTACGATGAAGTGGGTCGACGAAGAAGGTGACCCATGCACTATATCAACGCAGCTCGAGTTGGATGAAGCGTTACGGCTGTATGAACTTAATCGTGACTCTGAGCTGACTGTTCATGGTAAGTCATTTAATATGTTTTCTATACTTTGTACTATCTAAATGAAAAGTACAATAAAAAGGGAAACGATTCCTGCCGCCGAGATCCGTCATCGGACGACACGACAGACCGCCAGGTTCCATCCACACCATCTCGATGGCTGGCAATCCACAACCGTGCGGTTTGTGCGAAACTTCCTGCCTCGCACAGCAGCGTTGTGGAATGGTCTGTCCTCGGCGGTATTTCCAAACTGCTACGACTTAGGATCCTTCAAGAAGCGAGCTTATCACCACCTCAAAGGCCGGCAACGCATCTGCGGTTCCTCTGGTGCTGATGTCCATGGTGTTCACCAACACCTAGGTGTTCCCGCTGCTCGTTTGCCCCCTACTGTTATAAAAAAAAATCATAATGGGTAATGGTAACCAAAATTATAGTATTTGAATGAAAACAGAATAACTATCTAATAAAAAATCGCTAGTATATATAATTGGAATCTCGGAATCGGCTCCAACGATTTTCATAAAATTTTGTATATTGGGGGTTTCGGGGGCGATAAATCGATCTAGCTAGGAATCATTTTTAGAAAATGTCATTTTATTCGTGTTTTATCGATAATCGACTCAAACATAAACTTAACTTTTTCTATCGGTAAGAATAATATTATTCATATTTCATCATTTTATTAGTAATTCGTATTTAAATATAATTTCCAAAAAACACAATTTAAAAAAAAACACAGAACAAAGCTCGGTCATCCAGGTACTAACGTTAAGAACAAACCTATTTGATTGTCACATTACTTATTTATCTGTCTTATCATTATTTATTGTTATTAATATGTTTTTCATGGTTTAAAATTTTATATGTAAGCCAACGAAATACCTGTGTTTACAAGATGTTTAGGAAAAAGGAAATAATAGCAACGGTCCCACCAAATATATTCCGGTTGTCATTGTATTTGTATGCTTATCGTGTTTCGTGTGGAAGTACCTATTCCCGTACCGGCAGGCAGTTGCAGATTTACGCTATAAAATACCTTATCTCGCCGCATTGCGAGTACCGCTCTTGACTATTACCATATTCAGAATGTCGCTCGAGCTGTTGGCCACTTTTTACACATAGCTATTTTACACATTTGTACATGTCAGACATTTTGTTAAGTATAAATGTTTGTTCAGTTTTTGTAGTATGTAAGCTTTTATTCATATTGAAACATAATTTGAGGTTTAAAGTTATGCATGTTAGCTGCATAAATTAATGGTTGTACACAAACTTTAAAGCAATCAGGAGAACTTCGACCAATAAACAAATATTGGAATGTTGGCGCCCAACTTGTGCCAAGTTTATTCGTTGACTTAGTATTAAGGGCATCTTTAATTAACCTTAATGCTGTCGGATATGCTTCGTTTACATTATGCAAGTACAGTACGACAGTAGCGCTCAAAATCAGCACTGGCATACAACTGGCATAGTATAAACACTAACATGTGGTAGTCAGCCAAGACAGCCCATGCAAGGTGAGCGCTACTGTCCTGTACTGGAATACGTAATTGAACATTACTTAGTAATTTAAGTAAGCGTTTGGTTTTCATTTTTTGTCACTAATGGTATAAATACGTCGTATGAACAGTATAGTAAGTAATACGTATTGTATGAACAGTATATTATACAGAACAAAGGTATTGCATACAAGTTAGATAGTTTAGGAAGTAAATTCTTGGAAGATTTATTGAGGTAAACGTTAAAGTTGGGACATTCACTGCGTTGTGTAAATAAATCGGAAGCGAACTTTAAATTCAAATGGTTCGTGGGCGCTCTAACAACGTACAAACATTGGTGCTCAACGTGGGCCAAGTTTGTTCGGGTCGCGTTTGTCGTTGTCGTAATTACGGGCGATTTAATTAACTTTGATGGTGTTATGGAAGTCGATTTCAAATGTTGTTGTGCAAATTGAACAGCGGTATACATGCTTTCTTTGTCTGTGCATTTTTGAACCGACACGGGTCTGTTCGACTAATCTTTATCCAAGGCATTTTTATGTGTTTTTTTTTAATTAGAAGAACTGTGTAATTACACACTGCACATTGGAAAAGTGTCAACGAAGAATAGAAACAATTTGTAACACTATTTTTCTGGTTACGTGTTATCGTTACATCTTGTTAATAAGGTTCTATTGTAAAGTTGTCTTAGTAAATTAATGTGTAATGGTCTGCTGCCACCAGCATACACATCTCTCAACTACATAACAAATTCATAGTTTCATTGCCTCAGCGTAGCAAGCTTCTAAATTTAACACGCCTCTGAATAAGCTTTCCAAATCTATGTCTGGAAATAATAATAATTCTGTTGTTTATGCCTACCGTGGGTTTTTCAGACCAAAATCATCGTTTAATATTCTATCTCTGTTTTGTTTAAGATAATGACAGGGATGACGATATGTTTTATACAGAGATCTTGATCTCGGAAACCCACCGCTAGTCTTTAAATATTTTACAAGGATGTAAATATATTCAAGTGGGTGACATAGTCAGTAGAGGAAATTTTATATGTACTAAATTTTATTGTGTGTTTAATAGAAGCCAAGGAAGCAAATTATAAATGTGCCGAGGACTGTGTCCAATTAAATTTTGTATCCCTGACTATCCCAGGTCTGTATCAAATCATCCCGGTAAACAATGAGTTGAGGGAACCAGAGGGGGTTTAGTGAGTAGGCTCCATGTCTGTTTTCCGCTGGGTATGTGGAGACAGTCCCACATAACCGGAATAGCTTTCCCTGAGGCACCCGGTAGGCGTAACGCATTCCCCTCTTGAAAAAAAGGTCGCTATCAAATGATACCTTGTAACTCTGACTATCCCACTGAGTAACAAATTTGCTTATCAACGTTTTAGAGAAATATATGCTAAATTGGACGAACTAATGCAAATTGATTAAACGCAAATTTTCATTAGCGAGTTTTTGGTTTTACCTTTGTCAACATAAACAAGCCCCTTTTAACTTATTTACAGGTTTACACTTAGTTCGTGGTTAATCCTTAATTAGTGTTTATTTGTTAAGAATTAATTAATTTTTGAAGTAATTAATTAAATATAACAAGTTTTTCATTTCACAAAATTAAGGTATTTGTGAAAATTATTTGTTTGAAAGCCTTTTAGCGTTGTCCATAGACAACTCTCTCTCTCTTTCTCTCTCTCTCTTTCTCTCTCTCTCTTTCTCTCTCTCTCTAGGTCTCTCCATTTAATAGAGGTGATAGACAATTAAAGTAAGCTAATCATTGACTAGCTGTCGCCCGCGACTCGGACTGCAATGTATTAAAAAACTTAATTAGTAGCCCATGTGTTCTCCCAGGCTGTGATCTATACAGGCAGAGTTTAGCACATGCAGCCAATTTGGAAATACCTTCCATCAAACATTCGCTTCCATCCACCCTTGCAAACATTCGCATTTATATTATTAGTAAGATTTTATCTCGAATTACGTTGATATGTTAACGATAGAAATAATATTGTGTTTTTAAATATAAAAGAAAACGTATGGCGCGTCCTCATTGGAAGAGCAAACTGTATGTAATTTCCCGTTCCGACCGCTTTACTCATTTCTTGCGCTCATTTCCCTCTTTGAATGAATGAGAAAAACGCGTCTTCATAACAGACCTATTTTTAAGTTTCCACTCTGTTCGTCTGATGACGTCACTTATTTTTTTGTAACCATTACGGTGTTCTGAACATTGCGGGACATGAATGTAATCTTTGTCTATGGCTGGTAGAGTTTGATGATTTAGTCTTTTTTACAAATAAACGTATTTATTATTTCAATTTAATTTATGAATTCCGTTCAACGAATGATTGACGATAAGGTTCAATAGGTACTAATTTCTTTGCATAATTAGTCCTAAATGAGACCTTTTCTAACTAATTCCAATTCTAGCTTTTGTAATCTTGATCGCCGATTCTATTAAAAATGTCGTAAAATTCGTTCAATATTATTCCATATTTAAAATAAGAACTGTTATTTTAAACTGACCGACTTTAAGTAATTAAAAAGTAAATTGTTTTTAATTTGAAATTGGAACGGCATTGGCGTTTTTGAATTTTTTTTTAAATTCTATTTTTAGGCCTGTAATTGCTAAGTAAGGTCGATATAAAAACCTGTTTTGCTCATTTTGTATAGAGAGGCAGTATATGGTTAAGAGTATGCATTAATTACAATCGATTTGAAAATTAACATTAAATTTTTACCAATATAGCTTTTAGTTTATTTTAAGATTTTTATTATGAAACACAGACCATGAAAGTAATTATAAGTTTCGGTTGATTGGTTTTTGGCGATCGGGCCTCAAGAGAATTGTTAACTCACTATGAGTGTAAAGGGACGATTTCTTTTGCAGTATTTATTTGTATGATAACGCTTCCGTGAAATCACACCTTAACGTAACAAAAGACGAAATATCAAACTTATAAAATACATGTATATTATAATGATGGATTTCACTATTTGTTTTCTTTATGTGTTTTCTCGAAGACAGCCAAATTATCGTCCCAGTGAATACTTCTATTTATTCTTAGATTCTCATAGTTAAACATTCAAATGATACGATCTATTCTAGCAAATTGCATGCTTTATTTATTCAGACTTTACTGCATAGCTGTCGCAAAATGTCTGGTATCGAGTCGGAGAATTTGTAGATATTTACGTAAAATAACGCTGTTGTTTCTTTGGTCCAACTTAATTGTCTGTACGTGAAAATATTTAATAAATTTAATTAAAGTAATATATCATCTATTATAACATCTATTTCGGAACGTAATATTATGTTTTTTTAGAGTTTTTTCCGATATTATAAGAATTTGTTGCCTCTGTCTACTTCGTAAATGTAGTTCTGTATGTCAATGTATAAACTAATTAGAAAAGACAATACATAAGGTATGTGAGTATAAACATACAAGTAGAATTACATAATGGCTTTTGTCCGCAGTTTAGCAGGTGTGCTATTTGCAATTATATAATTAAGCAAACCCCGACAGAGGCGAGAATGTAGATCACAGCTCGTAGACTAATCACGTACACCATTATATGTAGTAGGTAATTTACATACGTTGTTCTTCTCTTATCCCTTTGTGGGCCTTGGCTTCGTCCAGCACCTTTTTTCACCTCTGCCGATCTCTGGCAACGGACTTCTAATTTGCTATGCTAATTTACATACGTAATTAATTGTAAAAAAAACTTATAACACTAAGGCTGTTCGGAGAAACAGAGTAATTGAATACAAAACTTGAAATCCTTTTACAACGTTCAGGCTACAAATGATGATTCTGATAAAATTTAGCTGATTAAAAATGATCTCGTTTTAAAGTTTGAAAATAGATTCTAGAAGTTGCTGATAAAAACGCAAACATCGATGGCCTCCCATCAAATAGCTCCCGTTGTCAACGTCCGCACGAGAGCTCATGTCCCGTGACGTCACGACCTCGTCCGCGCCAATTTGAGCTCATAAAAATTACGATCCGGTCTCCACTCGATATAATTACGCATCGACCAATGAGTGCGCTGGATCTGGCAGCAAACTTCAAACTAATAAAAAAATATTTTGGCTCCATAGAGATAGAAATCTCAAACCATCATTGCTATCCTAAACGATGAACAGAACATAGTTGAGGCGATGAATATAGAGTGAACGAAGAGACATTTTGTGCTGTATGTGTTACCATTCGATTGTGAACTTTGTTACTTTATAATCGGACTAGGTACTCTCCAGAACAATAAATTTCAAATTGAGAATTTTCTTTTTCATATGTCCGTTAAAGATTTAAAAGAAAAAAAAAGGTTATAAAGTTGGTTAGGTTGGAAATGGCACTTAAATTAGTAATGATTTGTCTTTTTCCTACATAATGTGATAAAATGTTTTATGCAAACAAGATATAAATAAGATTGCCATAAAATAAAACAATATCTGTTAATGAAGTAAGGACACGTCGGTTGAGTTATGAAGACTGAGTTATGTAAATTCATGTTTCGCAGTTCATTGTTCGCAAGCGTGATTATTGTCGTTTAGAGCTTTTGTTAGGGTTGTCCTATTCAAAATCTATGTATATTAAAATTGTTACTATAGAAGAAACGACAGTACACAAGTTTGTAAACAATATTTGTGACAACTATAACAATAAAGTTGGAAATAGATCTATCCAATGAATAGTGATAAACTTGGTTCATATTTTGGTTTAATCACCATGATCATCCTTCATATGTTTTCCATACTATTTAAAATTAAGAGGAAAAGACTAAAAATTTAAACAAAGGTCCGAAGGTGTCAAATTTGTCTAGTACATTTGTGGTCACTTCACCGAGGCCTGCCAACCCTGCCCGCGGCGAAGGCCGTGACGGCTAATTGGCGGCAGTCGGTGGTGTGCGGGCTGCGGCGCGGGCGCAGCGCGCATGGGAAAGAAACAGTGGCTTTGTGAAAATCTGTGCGCGTACGCGTGTTTGTCGCAGTCACGCCGTTTGCGCGCGAACGCCCGATCGCGGCCGGCGAGCACATTTGGAAACGTCCGCGCCGCAACAGCGAACGTACCGCGTGTGATCATGTATTTTCCTGTGTTTTGATTGTGATTACGTGAAACGTGCCGCAAGAATGGAATCGTTGACCTCGACTGTGCCATCGAATGGAACAACGCTCACCGGTTCCAAAGAGGTTTTGTGTTTGTTTCTGACCAGCTTCACGACGCGCCTTTTTGCTCGATAAGTTCGCGGGCATTCCCCTCTGTTTTTTTCTTACTTATTCTTTGTTTACCAATGGTGTCGTAAGGTGACCCACATTCAGTGAAATTTCGAAATAACTCCCTTTTAGTTACCTTCACGAGTTACATTCAATGTGCTCTGATAAGAGGACGGAAGTATTGTTTACTTGTTTTGTTGCAGAAAATTGTGAGCGTGAAGTTTTCAATGGCATGTTTCGGATTACAATTGTCGATATTTCGATACGGAGGTATCGAATTCCTTTGCGATTGTAATCAATATGTCATGTGAAATGGATGGATTGTATAAGTTATTTCTAAACAACAAAGACGGTTTGTGTTCACTTTATCTGTTCGTTACAAACGCAGTCTGTTTCTCGAATAAAAGTCGGTTAGGTTAATTGTGTATTAAAGTTTTGACCTTCTCAAGTAAACGGAGCAAAAAATTAGTAAATGGCCCCGAGCAAGGTCAATAAAATAGGTGTATAGCGTAATTATTTGGTCATGGAATCATCACTACTCAGCGTTTGTTATTAATCAACATCGCTCTAGAAACTGTTTCGTTTGTTTGCATTTTGTGGTTGTCGAGATTGTTCTGATTTATCGTCTTCATCCAAACAAACCGCAATCGCTAATGAATTGTAAATTGTTCGCTAAGTCCAGTCGAAATAGAATTTCCTCGCTACAATCATTTGCATTCTATTTTGTTGGAACGTCACTCTAACTTTTATATTCATATCGTCTACTTATTTTTTATATTTAAACTTATATTTTATCTTTATCCTCAAATCGTGTTATACAACATGTTATTTGATAGTGCACACTATATACAATGTTATAAAACACGTGTATATTTCGGCAGCAACATTAAAAAGTTTGTGAGTGTACTGATTTATGATACATTTCTTGTACAGACCCGGTTGTATTACAAGTTGCGTGAGTATGTTACAACCAACGCTGTAAAACGAAATTGACCCTTATTCTATTAACACAACGGCCTATTTTCCTGTTCCCGATTAAAGCGATAACAGTAGCGGAACTGGGAAACGACCGACATTTTCATCAAACGATTTCTATTTAATGTTATAATAACGTAGTTAACCATTTCTTTCGGTGAAACGTGTAATTGTATTTTATACTGAGTTTCCACTGCCAAAACATCTAGATACATTGTCTCTCGCTTTGCAAGCAGAATGTGAGAGATGAATAATTTTTTCGATAGTCGGAACTTCGATAAAATATAAACACAAATTATCGACACAAGATAACATTTGACAAAGCATATGTCAAGTATTGGTACAAATTTTAGGTTTTGGTACAAGTTCAAATATTGGTATAAGTTTTTTTACAAATTATTAGTTAAAGTCCTTTGGCTTGAATGACGTGCTTTCGTTACAAAGTCCAGTGTCAGAATGAATAGTGAGTGGACACAAACGTCGACACTTTAGTAAGGCTAGTGTTGAGTCAATACACTGTCACATTTTAGGATTTGCTTCCTAACAGTTTTAAGATGATAATACTGGTTCTATATATCTAGTGTTAAGTTTTATTGTAATGCATATTTGTAATGCTTTGAAGTAAATGGACCGTAAATATATAAAAAGGCTTGCAATTGATACTACATTGACAATGGTTTTTCAAACGCAGTCTAATCGATTTGTTCAAAGGTCATTGAACTCGAGTTTTAATGTTGTAGATTGTTAACAAAGACTATTGTAAAAGTTTAGTTTCGTATTTAGATTCTAACACTGCATCTACTAAAAATAACCTTTTGTGATTGCTGACATATATATTTTACTATCTTCCTAATATTATAAATGTGAATGTTTAGATGTATAAATTGATAGATGTTTGTAAGAAGGTATCTGTAAAACGATATATGATGAAATTTAGCATAGATGTAGAACATAGCATGGAATAACACATAAGCTACTAATTATGTGTTTTTAATTTCGCGCGGACGGAGTTGCGGGACAGCTATTTATGCGTTGCTTCTTATGTACAAAGGAATTCTTGAAATTTTCGGTAATGTAAATAATAATGAATGTGTCTTGCCTACCTTATTTCTTTTACAACTTATATTTTTAACAGACGATTAACTAACAACTATATTTTTCTTTGAAATAATAAGCATTTTAAATGCATTCGCATTTTAATATTCATCAAATATAAGTATTGCTTCAGTATTTATGTTTGCGATACTTTTACTCAAGGCCGAAAATAACCGATTGCTGATACAAGAACGTTTCCGCTTCACTTCTTCAGCGTATGTTGTCACTTTCCCGCACATACGTATCTGGTATGAGAGACGAGGATAGACGGCTGGGTGCACTTAGCTTTGATTGAGAGAAAGTATGGATGAATGCAATAATTGTACGGCTTTCTAACGCTTGATATGGTAGTTTTTTTTGCCGGTTAAGGTATCAATGTTATGGTGTTAGTGATACGACCTTGAAATGTGGTATGGCTTAAGAGGCAAGTAAGAAATAGACAAGACAGTACTGGAATGTGATTGAAGAATCCGGATAGCTGTCTTAATTTTTAAATTTATCGATGTTTATTTTTTAATGTAAGCACGTGATTGAAGTAGATTTTATGACAAATAAAAAAAAAACTTAATAAGTAGCCTATGTGTTCTTCCAGACTATATTTCATATCTGTGCCAAATATCAAGATCCGTTCAGCTGTTCTGGAGATATCTTCAAACAAACATCCATCCATACATCTAAACATTGACATTTATAATATTAGTAACATTTGTTTGAATTTATGAACACGTAATTTTTGACAAAAATTACATGTTAAAAATACGTACTTCGTGACTTTGGGGGAAAAAATTATCAGTCAGTTAGAGGAAAAACATTGTGTTAAAATAAAAATTAAAAAAGTAATATTTGCTATGGTCAAATTAATGTTATTGCATATTACAATTACTCAATGATTTGACTGGCCATATACGGAGGTGTGGAATTGAGAAAGTGATTTCTCGAAACTGGTCGTGGGTTAAATTTTTTTGTGAGTTTTAGAAAGCTTTTGGAATTTATTTGATGCGTTACGTATGCAATTTTTAATTACTCATTTTCGTATTTAAAGTACGATTCAGACAGTACCGGCAATTTCTATTCAATATCTCTGATTGAGTAATCTGTGCAAAATGGTACGTCACTTTGAAAAAAAATACTATCAAAATAGAATTGAACGAAGATTACTTTACATTATTCTCCTGTCTAAAATTATTTGATTATTTTGTGTTATCAATCGTAATTATGTTTTAAAAATACCAACAAGATATACTTTGCCTGTTAAAATGTTTCCTTATTATAACAAGGATTCGTTAAAAGCGATTTGATACGAGCGGAAATTTTAGCTGGCTTAAATACCATGTGAATATTCACACAATTATGTCATAGCTGCGCTATTTGCGCCGGCAACCAGTCCGACGGAGCGAAGCGCATTGACCTTACCAGATCTGTGTTAATGGTTTATTTGCTTGTTTTATAGATATTAGTCTATAACATCGATTGTTCCGGCACCATTTGTTTGCGAATCTCTATTCTACTAAATACTAGTACAATGTATTATAGTATCATCAGAGCGTTGATGGCTCATTGGTTAAACACTTGATTTATAATCTGCAGGTTCTGAGTTCCAATCCCGTCATGTACCAAATGTTTTTACTTTTGGAACATGACATGTCATGTACATTTATTCGTTCTTACGAAGAAAGAAAATCTCAATCAGCACATATATGTGAAGAAATTCAAATATATCTGAAGTCAACCCGCACTGGGTCAGCTTGGTTAACAATGGCCTAGATACCCCTAACTTAGGCTTAGCTGATGATGATGTGGTTGAATTTGATTAGAAAATGAAATGTACGATAGGAAATGTTGCTTTTTCTTATAAGCTAAATGCAATATTAATTTTGATTCAAATAGATTTCAAGCGATCTAAATTTTAATTAGGTTAATGTGCTAATAATCAAGGTAAAGTAGACTGGATATATGATATGAAAAACATATGTCGTACGCAAACTGATCTTGTGTGACGGATTGTGACGACTTGAAACGTGTATGTAACACTGTATTGCGAAATTATTTGCATTTTATATCCAACTGGCTGTCGCGCGCGGTTCCGTCCGCACACAATTAATAAAAAGAACTATTAGTAGTCTATGTATTCTTCCAGAATATGCTTAACAGATACGCCAAATTTCTGCGAGATCTCTGCAGCTGTGTTGGAGACATGTTGTTTGGATATAACAAAATTCCATCCAGTCATCCATCCATCTAAATATTCACATCTATATATATAAAAGAAAGTGTTGTTAGTTACACTATCTATAACTCAAGAACGGCTTTACAGATATGGCTGAAAATTAGTGAGGAGGTACCAGAACCAGGAGACGGACATAGGATATTATTTATTCTTTTTTTTTTAATTTATGCCTTGAAGAGCTGCTTTTTATTTAATTTATCTATATATTAAGTTATTATATATCCACGCGGACGGAGTCGCTGGCGATAGCTAGTTTATAATATTAGTAAGAACTATAGTACAATTACTAGTTTAACAAAGCTGCATCGTCGTTAGATATATGTTAGAAGGATGAAATAGAATAAACTGTTATGACTAGGGTATATAAATGTTTACATTTGCGCACATTCACACATATGATAACTATTCTGTCCGGAAAATGGGATGTCCTCTTCTGCAGGATACGTACCTTTATAAGTCGAGGTCGTATTTAAATGGACGCGTATGTATGTTACCGGTCATATATTAACTTCGTCATTTTACATTCAGACTAGATATATTCCGAAGTGCATGAGCAAATTCTTAACTGATATTTTTCAAATATTTAATAATTTATAAACTGTCAAATTGTGGTTAGATATGTGAGATGAAAGTTCTTTATTATATTTAGTAGATTCACTTTGTGTTTCCGAGATCAAAATTTCTGTATTAAATATATCGTCATCCATCATTATCTTTGACGAAACAGATCACATGTTTTAAACGGAGATTTTGGGCTCAACAACTCACGGTCAGTCAATAGTTTAGTAAACAATATTCTGAAAATTTATAAAATTACTAGATTGATTAAAAACTGACGAATTCATAATCGTTAGGTAACATTACTGGCACCTTTTGTTTTAGTTTCGATATAACATCACACGATCTAGTACACTGTTATAATAATGTCGCTTTGGTTTACGTTTAGATAAATTCTCTATATTGTTCAAATAGACACGCGTTCATGGTAACTGCTCCATATTTATGGATCGTTTCAATTGACATCATCGTTCTATCGTACTTAATTTAGTAGTGTGTTGTCTAGTAACATCTAATACTCATGTGATATACAACAATTACCTTTAAGTTTGTGGAACAAGACCGATATTTCCGTGTTACAAATTTAGTCAGTGTGTTTTAAACTAGGATGATTTAGAAATTAGCTCTAATATTAGAAAATATTGATGTTAGTTCATTTTAAATTTAGTACGCTGTGTTCGATTAAATATTTCTAGAACATAATCTAGGAAATGTAAATATTTTTGCATTATTTTATTATTTAATATACGATCGAACAATTTAAAATCTAATGGTTTCTGGTTTTTTTCTAAAGGTTTCTTTCTCCCCTTTAATATATTAAGGTCATGATACTTCTAGAATAACATACTCTTTGGGTAATTATTTAGTAGTCAAAGTTGTCTAAACAAAATCAAAATTGGCGATCGTCTAAATATCAAATCTCTCTAGTTATTTGAAACCCAAACATTTATCTATTAAATTATTCTAAAATATATTAACTTAATAATTAAGCTATTTAATTCCACATAGCTCGTTCCCAATCGTGTATTTTCTAACGTAAACTAAGGACTACTTTTATTCGTGTTGGTAAATAGAGTGTCTTTAAGACTGTCTTGTTAAAAGAAGTCCCCAGAGACCGTGATATTTTATGAAGAAAAGGTCGTTTTTAATGTTGTACTTACTCGTATACCTTCCGTTTGGGTCTTTGAATTAAGTTTTTGATATTTGCAGATATATTTATGTAGCAGAATAAGTTACGAAATAAAATACTAAGCAAAATGCATTTAACAAAATAAGATTTGTTAAAGGATTTGTAAAGAACCTAAATAATTTTACTAATGTTATAATTGAGATTGGTGGATGGATGTTTCTTAGAAAGTGCCTTCAGGACGGCTCCACGGCTCTTGATGAAATTTGGCATAGATGTAGAACATAGTCTGGAAGACCACATAGGCTACTAATTTTTTATTTTCACTCGGACGGAGTCGCGGGTAACAGCTAGTTGCGTAATAAAATATTACGCAAAATGCATTTAGTAATATATGACATGGTAAAGGCTTTTTGTAAAGAATCTAATGTTTACTAAATTATCTTCACGGAAGCAAATGTGTCAACATTTATTTTTTATATAGTAAAATTTATTTATTTACATCCTTATTTCTATAATTACATAAAGTCTCATCTATGATATAAAATAAAATATTAAAAAAAAAACGAATAATTCACTAAAATATTTTATATAGTTATATGTCATTTTATTAACATACACTGTGACCCGCTTGTTAATTAGGATGTACAATAGTATGGGAATTACAGACAATTTCTAAGGCAGAGTCGTTAAACTCTATGAAACAATTAAACGCCTGGAGAGATTCTTGTGCGTTGTAATTGACATCTTGGGTACACTACTCTGTGGTTTATACTGCAAATTGTATTGTAGAGAGAGAGAAATGATATATAGCTGTTGCTCGTGACACCATCCGTGCAGAATTAAAAAAAAACTTAATTAGTAGCATATGTATTCTTCCAGGCAATGTTCTACATCAATGTCAAATTACAGCGTGATCCATGCAGCCGTTCGCAAAATACCTTCTAACAAACATCCATTCATCCAAACATTCGATGATATTTATAAGTGCGCGCATTTATTGAACCTTCTTTTGTTTTAAATAGATCACAAAAAATAATTATGGAAGTATGTAAAAGATATTTGCTGTTGTTATAACGTAAAAAAATGCATGTCCGTTTCGTATTTGCTACTATCATAAAAAATATGTAGTTTTGTGTGTGTTAAGTGTGTCCTCACTATTTGTGCCTACGAATATAATTGGCACCAATTGAGTGGTGCGGCTGCTGATTTAGATCCAATTAAAGCCACGATACCAAGGAAAATATCACCAACGGCCAAATGGAGCCATGACTTGTTAACTCATCATAGAAATATGTAGTTGTGTAATTGAAATTTATCCTATTTTTCTCTTGATATTCAAAAATCTATATAACGAAGTAGTATGGCTCGACTATACATTTAGAAAAGGATATTAATTACATACAATATGCGGGAAATTATTCTGCCCTGTATTTATTCTACGCTTCATCGGACAGTAAACATGGTTATGGAAATCACATTGCCCTAGTTAATGTTATTAAATGAATGTCTTACGATGAAATACCTCAGGTGCTCTGCGCAGGTGTTAACGATTATCACGTAATGAATATCGTTACGTTTTTAAAGATGGTTCTTTTTTATTTTAATTCGATTATTTTAATTAATTAGCTCTTGCCTGCGACTCCGTTAGCGCGTAATTTAAAAAAAAACATAATTATTAGCCTATGTGTTCCTCCAGACTATGTTTTACATCTATGCCAAGTTTCAGCGTTCATTCGTCTATATTTTAAATATAAAAGGCCAGTTTTTAGAGTTTTCCCGGTAATTATTCGTTTTTTCTCACCTTTTAAACCTTTCCTGGACGTCCACGAACATTTCAAGACCAAGATATGATAAATCCGTTCAGCCGCTCTCGAGTTTTAGCGAGACTAACGAACAGCAATTGATTTTTATATATATAGATGCACGAGATATTATAGTTAGATCTATTCAGTGTTTGTTTACGTCATCGTTCAATAAGTAAAAAGTCATGCGTCTCGTATAATCTATATGTGTCCCTTTGTATTTCGCTGTGGTTTACGATTATTTTTCTTATAAAATAGCTTTGTGACGACCACATAAAATAGATATTAGGACCGGAACTGAGATTACGCACAGTTTCGGTGAAAGTACTCGTAAAATTCCTATGAATTGTTTTGGGAACGGGATGTTTGACTGATTGAAAAATACACATGTATCTTTTGGTAGAAATACATTCGATTTTGATTTTCTACATTTTGTATGGATAGACTGATTATTACATATAATATATTCTTTCTAGCTTGAAACAAGAATATAAATAACTCCTTTCTAAGTAGAGTTTTAATGTCTCGACGAAATATTTTTATCTATATTAATCGTTTTCATATGTACCTGTATTTATCGTATTCATAGTGGAGGCGTATCCATCAGATTCGGTGGCAGCAATCGTAAAGTCAGCCTTTTACACCGCCTCCGGTGGGATTGCTTCGGCTTAAGGAAATTGCCCAAATAAAATGTTAACTTCGGGGTTGGGGTTCTTTATTTCCGGCGACATGGCAACGTTTTATTTTACCAGTAACATTTAGGATTGTGTGTTGCCTTAGAAGAATTATGATAAGGGTTTAAACAATGTTTCAGGGCATCTCCTATGTTTCCGCTTTGGATGGCATGATTTTGTTGGCTCACTGATCTACAGTTTAGTTTAGAGTTGTTGAGATTTTTGTTTGTTTTTATATCATCATCATTATCATCATAATCAGCCTAAATTTGTCCACTGTTGGACGTAGGCCTCCCCCATCGATTGCCACAATGCCCGGTCCTGTGCCGCCCGCATCCAGTGCACTCCTGCAACCTTGACCAGTTTTTATATATCTGTCATAAATAAACGTTTTCTGACTAAAGTTATGTTGATTGTTATAATTATGTCATAGTTTGTTTCCGTAACAATCACAAAACCTCTTGATTATAGTGCAAAGTGTCATTGAAAGTGAAATGAAAAAGGAATGCAGTGATGGAATTTTTAACATACATCGGTACATTGAAGGCGTTAAAAATGATCGTGTTATCAAATATGTTCCGCGGAGGTCATCCTCAGCAAAATTTAGGTATGAAAGACGTGAACAATACCGAAGAAAAAAGTGAAAGTAATAAAATTTCCAAACTAGTAACACAGAGTTCTTTGAGACTCAAACCACGAACTAATAGACAACATAAAACAGATGTAAACAACGGTGAGAAACAAGAAATGGAAGAAGTAACGAGGAGTGAAAGAGAGAAACGATTGTCTACCAGCGTTGATGCAATAATTACCAAAAGAGATTTACATCGTGAAGTGATATGTAGTGCCAAAGGTTTATTAGAAACTAATTTAGATGATTTATTTAACGACGTTGAGAAACTGGATGCTTGGGCTGGTGAACCAAAGAGTTTAGGAGCGAGTGAACCGACTTTAAGTTTTAGCGATAAAAGATCGATACACAAGCGTGAATCACTAGTGTCAGAAGATGACACGGCAGATGATACAGCGACTGATAGTGACTGTTTGGATGAAGTGGTCCGTGAACAGAGAAAGTGCATGGGTGCGCGTCGATTGGGCCATATGCTGCGGAGAGTTATTTCTAGAAATGGTAAGATGATAATTGAATATTCTTTTATGATCTGATATTATTGGTTTCTATAAGAAACTAAAGTAATAAATATTATTAAAAAAATCAAATTATGGCCGACCAAGTCGTTGTTGATTGGGCGCGGGCAAATCGAAACAGCGACGGTCATTTATTTATTTTCAATTGTCGCAAATTGCTTCTCCCGCTTTGATTGAGGCACCGTTGTAAAACAGTTTTGCTCCGCGATGTTATCGTTGTAGCTTCCTATTGAAATTGATTTGATATAGTGACGTGATTTATTTATTCTTTGTTTCATTGTAACTTATTTTACAGAAGCCAACATTTTTTTGATGAAGTTCCAACTTGTATTTGAGAAATTAGAATTCTCTGTGGATCTTCTTAACGCACTGTTTTTGCTTGTTTATTGACCATGTACACCATTTTGGATTCTCCATTTAAAATCAAAGCTTGTCGATCTCAAATAATCTAATTTCCTAGTTCAAATAGTCAACGTAACTAAGGTCGAGTGGCAATCGGACTTCGGTAATCCTCAATTCATCCGCTAATCTAGCCGCACGGATAGGTTTCAGCAAATCCTGTTACTTCATCAATTCCACTAGAGTTGCATTTCGCCCGAGTCACCAGCCTTTAGAATTATTAGCTTTTCAGTAAGACTATGTGTATTATTTATTTTAAAATTAATGTTAGTTCCCTACGAATTAAAAGAAAAAAAAAACATAATTAGTAGCCTATGTATTCTTCCAGATTATCTTACTTATATTATTAATGGGAATGTTCTATATGTATGCCAAATTTCATCAAGATCCGTTAAGCCGTTCTATAGATACCTTTAAACAAGCATCCATCCATTTAAACATTTGTAATTATAATATGTATTTGTAAAATTAATAAGATGACAAAGACTTTTAATAATGTTTAAAGTTCAATAATACAATAACCAGATAATTTCGGACGTTGTGTAAATCACTACTTCGTCTATGACGAATATTTTCTAGAATATTATATTGTATAGTTTATACAAAAAGGTGGACCTAATAAATTAATTACATATTATAAGCTTAATATTATGTGTTGGAATAAAAATCAAACTTCCCTTTTGATTTATATTGTACAGGAAAAGAAGCGTGTAATCTTGTCACCACATGTTAACATGTCTTCTAATAAAATACAACCAAGACAGAGATGTTCGCAAATATTTAAATAGGAAAAAAATATTGATACAATAAAGATAGGAGGATGAAGTGGGGTTTATTTTAGTTAATAACTTCATTGAACATGCGTTTCGCTAAGTATAAATACAAGCAGATATCCAACAAGGTCTTTGAACTTTCAAGCCGGAGTATTCAGTGCAAGCAGGAGCGATGGCGTCGCGTTATTGTTTAAGTGTTGCGCGTTTATTGATCCCAGAGGATATGTATCATACGGATGCTGTTATTTGCTTAGATTTTGATTACATTTCCAGCAATAATCTGTGAAGGTTGCGTAATAAATGGATAAAGATATTATCGTTATTAAATTGTTTTCTTTTGACGGTTTTTTATGTTACTAACCATGGTTATTAAATTCTTACATCTATGACGAAAGAGGCAAACTATGGTTCTAATTTTATGTCGACAAAATAGAAGCAAATCGATTTGGCTTCTAATCTGTAATCCATGTTAGAGTCGATCGTATTGAACAACTCAAGCTAAAGTTTAAATCTGTACGGATAAACTGTAATCCTATCTTCAGATTAAAACCATTGGCCAATTGTTCATAGACATACGAGGTAAAGATATGTTCACACGAAAGCAAAATCTTGTTTAGCAAAGCGAACATATCAACGCTATGTATTTGATGAACTAAATATAGGTATTATTCAGTTTTATTTACGGAGTTCTTATTCTTTAATTATCTACTAACTTTTTTTATAAAACTTTTAATTAAAGAGGACAACAAGCGGTTAGGGCTATCAATTTAAAGGATGTCGCGTCTTAATAAAAATTAGTCTACCGGAAAAATTATGATGTAAATTTATCAAAGAATGTACATGAAAACTGGCTTTAGTATAAATGGCTTCGTACAATTTTTATTTGCACTAGTGAGTAGGTAATTGTGTATAGCAGTCGCGTGAAATGCGTTTATTTATTATCTGATGCGAGTGCCGCTTTCTCCCATTGTTTTAAATTAAAACAAATAGAACAATTGCCGACTCTCGTGACATATTAAAAAAAACTTTGTAGAGATGTTAAAAATAATTAGAGGAATATACTTATTCGGATTATGACATCTACAAATATTATAACAAACTTGTCTTGGCTCTAATAACACACCTTACTACTAACTAATATTATAAATGCGAATGTTTAGATGGATGGATGTTTATTTAAAGGTATCTCCAGAACGGCTAAATGGATCCGACTGAAATTTTGTACAGACGTAGAACATAGTCTGGAAGGAGACATATGCTACTTATTAGTTTTTTTTTAAATTCCTCGCGGGCGGAGTTGCAGGCGTCAGTAGTTTTAATATATCTCATTATAATCAAAACAATTGAACCCTTTCTTGTCGATATATGTCTAATGATGTAAGCCATTGTTTACATAGTTAACATTTCAGAGACGGCGCTGGTTTGTTGAACTAATGATAATATGAGTGTCTATTTCGCGATGTGTATGGTTAGGTCTACGTAATGATAACACGATTAATAACTTTGGTGTAAAATACCTTACACAAAGCAACTTAAATCTTTAAAAGCAAATGATTTTAATCGCCAAGCGACTAACGCAATACGCATCGCCAAAAAAAGATCGTCGTAAGACGACGTTACAATATTCAAGATGGCGGAGCGAAGCAGTTGACATGTACGATGGTTCACATCGGTTTACCTGTACTGACCGAATAGACGATTCGCGTCGACGATTTAACCTTATTTGTATGGAGCGCGCGCAACTCAAATCTCGTGAACCATAGTTTCGACAATTTAAGTCGCCTTGTGTGATGTTTGTATTAAAATGTTGATTATTAACTTTAAATAATTCGATTTAATTTTTGTATAATCGTCTTAGATTTCTTAGATTAATCTTTATAGCAAAATAGAGCTTTATTGAAGGATGGCAGAATACCGATCGGGATTAATTCTGGAGGCTCAGCCGCCGCTTGGTTATTGTTTAAACGGCATTGCATTTTCAATTAATGCCAGCCATCGCCCCTCGCCTTTTAATTATGATTCAACTTTAAATTGGAAGATACAGTTTATAATTTAAAATTCGCCGCATTCACAATTTAAATATGTAGTTTTATTCATATGCCAAAATTTTCTCTTAAAGTGCACTTATACAATTGCATATTTTTTGTATGTAGGCAGAGTCCACGGACCATCATTGGGCGCGGTCCTGACCTCTCTGTAGCTTCTTCTACATTCATACATCTACGCATACATGCAGGTCGGTTTCGGGTGCTTAATAACGCCCTTTTTGAGCATTTCACAAATTGGGACAGTATAAGACCGTCTGGGATGGCCCCGATCAAAACTGCCACACACTTTCGCGTCATTAATTGTGCTTTGTGTTACTAAAATTAATATAGATATAGTTTACAGGTCTGTTATTTTAAGACAATGATTTAATGCATAAAAAACAGATTTTAATATTACAATACTCTAAATTAAGTTAAAATATGCGGATTCATTTTATATTTTTTTTATATAAGGTCATCACATTTATAGGTCACACTAGGTAAGCTATAAATAGGACCTAGGCAAATATTATATACTATCTGTAAAAGTATAAAAATCTGTGCTCAGTCGACCGCCTCCGCGATCGCACTGTTCAAGAGCGGAATAAACCTGGTTACTTTTATTGTGATTTTTTAAAATATTTATTTGAAATATTACTTTGTAATAAACTCATAATTTCTCTGTCCTTGTTTTAATCACTCATATCGGCTATTGGTTTAGTAATCCAGATTGATTTATCTTCCGTTACAATTAGTAAAATTCTATGCAAAATCAACGCTAGTAAAATACATATGATATATAAATTATATCTTATATGTATGAAAAAATTATTGCTGTTCGTTAGTCTCGCTAAAAGTCGAGAACGGCAGAACGGATTTATCTTACATTAGTCTTGAAATGTTTGTGAAGGTCTAGGGAAGGTTTAAAAGGTAAGAAAAATTCGAGTTATTGCCGGGAACTATTTTTTTTTTTCATTCCACGCGGACGGAGTCGCGAGCGACAGCTAGTAGAAAATAATATTCTTGCATTTTCATTCATTACACAATATTTATAAAGCAAATGTTACCATCGTACAGTTAAATACAACAGTCGTATAATAAATAGTTGTAACATGTCACTGGGACCAACTGCAGTGGGATTTCACAATTTTTTTACGGACAGTTACTCTCTGACCTACATCGCGTTATGCGATTTATTTGTCCAATGTGTTTGGATACAATGTACATTTTAACGTGTTTTTAAATAGCAATGCTTTTATTGGTATTATATTTGTTGGTTAAAGAAAATTTTTCGTATGATTTCCAAACACATGAACGAAAAACAATTATTCATAAGGGTCACTTGAACGATTTACCGTGGGTTTCTGAGATCAAAATCTTCTTTTAAATCATATTGTTAGCTATGTTTTATACAGAGATTTTAACATCAGAAACCAACGGTAAATCGGTTGTCAATTTTGCTTTAAAGTTATATAATAGGCAGAAAGGCATATTGAACAAGTATAATATTCCAAAAACCCTTTTAACCGTTATCTGTCACTATTCTGAAATGGCTTCTATTGTAGTGCGCAGTAATTTCCGGCTTCGGATATCGGCTAAGAATCCTGCTTTATATTGAAAGGAACGTTTCTATGGCGCACAATTTGGAAAGTGGCCGGGTTCCTTCTCATACCATCCTTAGTCATTCCTAGTAAAAGAAGAAATGGGCAAGACTTAAAGACAGGTATAAAAAAAATGCAGGCTGAATTTTAGTGCACAATAGTGCGAAGCAATAGCTTTCCTACTTTATGAACAACTGTCGCCCCTGACTCCGTCTGTGCAGTGTTAGAAAAATAATTAGTAGCCTATGTATTCCGCCAAACTATGTTCTACATATGGTAAATTTCAGCGAGAATTATGCTATCGTACACGAGATGTCTTCTAACCAAGATCCATACATCCAATCATTCGCATTTAAAATATTAATATTAACAATTGTTATCCTCAATAATTATAATGATTTCGATATCGCTGTTTGCATTTTAATGTTTTTCATGTAAATTATACGATTCCATAGGAAAGCTCAAATTCTTATACTCAAAAATATTTGAAGTCTCAAAGTAAGTAAAATTGTACTATTTTTATGTCCATTTTCACAAATCTTTTGTTAATTTTTGGAAAACAAATATTTTCGTAGTTCTTGATAAATATTAGAATTTGAAAAATAAAAATATTAAAGTAATCTTCTGTTTTTTAAATGATGATGAGCATTATCTTATACTTTTCGTTAGATATAATTTTATCTTTCTATCGATATAATTAAAAAATATGGAGAGTTAAAAAGAAGCCTGTTTTGCACATATATTTGCTCTGATTATACCAAAAAAATAATTTTTAAATTTTAGCCTGTTTGCAAATCAGCGTTTGTTCGGGGTAGTCTCCGCCACGGCTGGATCAATTTTGATGAAACTTTGAAGGTATGGTAATTGATGCATGCGGGCATACGAGGATTTACTTTTTTTGCGCCGAGAAAGTCGCAGGTGACCGCTAGAACACAAATAAATAATATCCATTTTGTCATTGATTACGTCATTAAAAATCAGTGTAACATAGAAGCAGTTAAAATGTGTTAATACCTACATGTGATATTAAAAGGATCGCATGTAACATGTTACATGATCTCCCTCACGTAAAACTTCAATAAATCTCTCCAGATAAACTCAATTTGGCAGCGCAACAGTTGTAGACCTCGATCCGAGCGCATCGCAATCTTATCTACGCGTAAAAATCTTTAACCACGGTTCCTTTTTACTATGGTACAGATAGCAAAAAAGTAACGAAGGTATTTGTAGCATTTTTTCGTATTGCAATTTAAATCTGAATTTTGCATTATGTTATTTATTAAAATCTTGAGTAAAAATTAAAACGGGTAGAACAACACTAGCCGACTTGGAAGACGTAATCAACGTAAAACATGTCTGGATAGCACACGTCAAACCA